TAGATCTGAAAAACATCGGTCAAAAGTGAGCCAATGCTGAAAATGTTAGTAAATGCTGGCTAAAAGCATAACTTTCATTTATGAGCTACAGGGACAATAAAACCTCACCTCTTTAGTTTGTGTTAGCGTGAATGAAGTGGCTTCATCGTGCACAACAGACGCCAGAGTGACAGCTAGTGTTCCCTGTACAGGCTGTCCACTGGGGTAACTAGTGGGGGTGAAACAAAGTATTAACATTGCTGTATACTTGCTCAACATTTGTGTAAATGTGATCTTATCAATTTGCCTGAGCTAACTGAACTCACAGCGCTCTCACTGATCCTGAGATGTCATCACCAATGAGAACCTGAGAGGGTGTCTTCAACAACACTTCAAAGTGAGGATACTCTGCAACAGCAGTCAGTAAAATTACGCAAATGAAATTATTTATGTCATAAGGTTTACTTATAAACAAGACTAAGAGTCTACAGCCATGCTAGCAGCTCTGTGAGGCTACTTACTTAGGAACTTTGAGCTTTGAGCTAAATGTTAACATCAGCATGTTACATGGTCACAATGACAGTGCTAACAGGCTAATGTTTAGGGAATATGTCTACTGAGGTCCCCTCTCAGTTTAGCATGTTGCTGGTTAGCACTTAACAAAATGCAGCACAGGCTGATAGGATGTCATTTGTTTTGCAGGTATTTGGTCATAAACCAAATCATTTGACTAATGAAGACATGTGTCTACATAGCGTTTTATTCCAACTGCCAGTGTCTTTTATCAATTGTTCCCAATGAGGAAAGAGTGTATGCGGCCATATGTATCTGCCTAGAGACATGGCACTACAGCCAGAGCACTCCAGCTTTTTCGTGTGGCTGCTCCGAGAGCTCTTGGTTAAAATCTCTGAACTTTTCAGAAAGGCAGTGATGTCGTCACTGCCACTCCTTTAGCTTCTGTCTATCCCTAGCTGTATGATATGTCAGTTTTGGGGGCGGCAGTAGCTCAGTCCGTAGGGACCTGGCTTGAGAACCGGAGGGTCGACGGCTCAAGTCCCCGTATGGCTGCCCCCTCGCTCTGACATCCCTTCATTTCATGCATGTATAGGTCCTGTTTGTGCATGTGAGGGTATTTCAGCCCTGTGTGTATGACAACAGAATGGAAAAGTGTATCTTCTTCTTCTTCTTCTTCTTCAGTCAAACTATCACAACAAAGACAGAAAAATCCATTCATGGGAGCAGATCCGGTGGACACTGACCGTTACTAGTAGTGAGAGTGCTTTTATCACCAGACGCATTGTGAGCTTGTTTTTAACTGTGAAGCCTTGTCAACCCGCTGTTAACGTAGCATCACATTAGCATCACGTTGGCTACCTATGTTAATGTCAAGATGTGCTGGGATGAAGCACTCCTCTGCATCCTGCCCCCTCCTTTCTGCCATAGAAAAATGCTACGTGGACACATGGTTGTACTAGAGGAAAATCCCAAAGTATTTAGAACGTATCATCTAGGGACCTCGAATTTTTGGACCACATATTTTTTTAAAAAAAAGTATCCAGTAGTTGTGATATTTTAGTAAAAACCAACAATGTCAACCTCACAGTGGCGCCAGAGGAAGTCAGAGGACTACAGAAGTCAGTAAGATTCATCCTCTGGGGACAATGCATGTCCGTTCCAAAATTTCATTGCATGGCTGAAAAATAATATTACAATAAACTGGTAGATCTATTACCGTAATCCTCCACAATGAATTCTCTCTCATCAGTTGCATCCTGTAGGGAAGAGGATGAGAAGCAAGACGGTAAGATGCTTTTCTTATTCAATTCAAACAGCAGCTTTTTACCCAGCATGCAACACAACAGGTAAACATATTTCTATATTTCAACCCTACATTCACTGTGGTTGTGATCGCCCATATCCCAAGAGGTGGTGTCTGGGACAAACTGAATTCCCGCAACACAATCCCCAGATTCCCTGTGGACTCCCACCTATCCACAACGTCCCCACTGGGATCCTGCATGTGACAAAAGAAAGTCAGTCAAACTTAACACTACCAGCACCACACAATGCCCTCTGAAAAATCCATTCAGCTCCTCTGGCTTTGTTCTTTCACACAGAGGACAGAGACATACCCGTATAGAGATTTCCACTCTGCCTTTGTATGGATGGTTATCCAACTGAACAGACACAACTCTGACTTTGACGGTATCGCCTGGATGGTAGCGTGATCTGTCGGTTTGAATGAAGGTGGAGACGTTCCTGGGGCTGAAGCTGAGAGTGGTGGTGTTAGTGAAAATGACATCATCCCCGCTGTAGCCCCTCACCGTCAAGTTTATGAGGGAATTCTGGGTTGTAGAGCCGAGAATCTGGAGCTATTGTAGAAGAATTTTCACAAACATATACATGTGATATCAAGTTAAACAAGTCATTTAATCACTACCAAGTATTATTTTCTGATCTGAAAGAGATAATTATACTCACAGGAGGAAGTATGAGGATCCTGGTCACACCTTAAAAACAAAATGTTACGTCAGCCCTGTAATAAGTCAAAAAGTAACCATGCAAATTAACCCTAAACTGCTTTGTAAATGCGGTGTTACCTCCTTGGAACTCCTCTGTCTGGGATACTTTGGTGTCACCATGTGTCAGCTCAGCCATCACCCTGCCAGTGAAGTCAGTGAGGACGGTGACAGCCAGGGAAGTAGGTGTCCCAGTATACAACACCTCTGGATTTGAGATCAGAAACAATGTCCTGGTAGAAAGAGGAAGGATGGCGTGTTACTGACTGGTGAAACAAAGTGGGTCATCTTTTAAAAACTGCATTGATATATAAAATTTAAAGAAAATGAGTGTATTAACAAACCAGGTCTCTTACCTGGATGAGTCCTGAGTCAAACCAGGCACAGCAGAACACAAAACTCCCACACACACAACCAAAGTCCAGATCCCATCCATGCCTCTAATCCAAGCCTCGCCACCCATTCAACATCTGATTCAGACACCAAACTGACAGTGACCGCTCTATGAGGTGACCTGTACCTAGGTGTTACGAAACCCCTCCTCCTATCTGTCCACCAACGCCCCATGGGACCGCACTCACATGGTCACACACCAGGTTGAATACTATCACACATATATTCTTTGTCACACACAAAGGAGGAGGTAGAGTGATGAGGGGGGGGGGGGGGGGGTTCACACACTCTTCACACCTTTGCCCAAGGGGATGCGTCTCATCTGTCTATTCAGGGTCTGACAATTCCCAGTCCTGTCCAAAGCACACACAGAGAGAGACGTTCTGGTGTCACTGTATCCATACTGAGAAGAAAACGCGTCTTGAATGTCAGAAGGAACACAACCCTGCATGCAATATGTCACATAAAAACCACCAGAGAGTTTAATTCTTGGCGTGTTATCTGAAAACGGAAGGCTGCTTTTTTTGGATTCTGCCCTTTCTACTACTTTATGCAGCCTCCTTGAAAACAAATCTGTATGATCACATTACAGCTGTGTGGTAAACAGGTTTGACATTTTAATTAGCTTGTGACAACAGAAGAATGGGGTGTTATCAAGGCTTTGTCTCTGGAGAAAATGACGATCAGTCACCAAAGTACAGCTGACTTTGTTGAAATAGTCCCTATCCAGAACAGCTTCCACTACTGGGCTAAGAATTAAGCTGAAAAAAATGAATGTCACATGTTGTTTTTTGCTCTGTGTGCAAGTTTGACAGAAAAATACAGGTTATGCAGAGAGTTTGCAGTAAAAATAGCAGCAGGGAGGAGATGAGCTGACATTGTGGGATCATGTTTTAACCTCTAAGCAGTAATTAAAATTTTCACAGAGGAACATGATGACAGAGGCACAATGACAGCCCGTATGAAGTCTTCCTTACCAGCAGGTGGCAGTGAAGTCAAGGCTAACTCATCACTTTAAACCCAACTCCCTCTAAACCAAATAAGAACTTTGCCAAAGAGATGGGAGTACTTTGCTTAGCTAAAAATTCATGAATGGTATTTTCATTGTAGTAAGTGTTGAATGTACTCAAAGTCACTGGGTTACACAACACCCACGCCGCAGTATTTGCTTCATATTAACATTTTATTCTTTGGTATTACTTCTTTTCACACTAGTTACATATAAACATGTTTAACAACGGTCCATTTCCACAAAAAAAGAGTATTTTTGTCCAATATTTGGCACGTACAACTTTGGCAACAAACTCAGCTTTAAACTTGTTGAAACAAAACTCTTCAGTTTGTCAGCATAGGTGTAGTATGAGGGTGCGTTTGTGCATCTTTGAGGGTGCAGGTGTGACGTGGCATGATGTTGCAACCGGATGCGCGAGCCTGTGCAGGCTTGTATATTTGCTTTTTGCTCTATGTCACTCCTGTAATGCACATCCCTGAGCACCTAAACAGCACTGGCACACTTTGTGGTAACATGGAGGCACTTTTATAGGTTTTGATCTTCACACAGTCGTTGCATTTCCTGTGAGAAAACACCAACAGAAATTTGAACTTAACAAGTCATCACTCCAGGAGTTGTGTAACACCTATACTGTACATTATTACATTCGCACACCGACAAGGTGCTGACAAAAGTGCATATTTACAGAGTGCTAAAAGGTCCAGGAAGAAGTAGAATCTTTGCAGAGCATCACAGACAAGGTTAAAAGGCGAAACACAGTGGCAGATAAAACAATGTGCAGTTTGAGGACTGCTTATTGATTTGATGAAGGACATGATGGGATACAGTACTTTCGGCCAGTGAAGTACCAGTGTGGAGACATTTACAGCAACGATACCTGTACATACACCTTCCTCTGAAGGATGCCATAAAAAGATTTTCTGAATTTCTATGTTGGTCAACAATTATCCGAAAGCTATAACATGTAACATTTTGTATTAAAGGTCCAGTGTGTAGGATTAAGGGGATATATTTGGACAAGAGGAATACAATATAATACATGTGTTTCCTTTACTGTATAATCACCTGAAAATAAGAACCGTTGTATTCTCATTACCTTTGAATGAGCCGTTTATATCTACACAGGGAGCAGGTCCTCGCCAGGGAGTCTGCCATGTTGCACTGCCGGTGTGTTCACCACTGGATGCCACTAAATCCTACACACTGTTCCTTTAAAAGGTAGCAGTTTTATCAGTCCTTCCCCTCCTTCACAGTTGGTCACATTCTGCTAAGCAGTCTACTTTACTGTGTCTGAATTCTTTACATATACCGATGTATGTCAAATGTCAGCTAATTAAGAATATGAAAGGTGTAAGAATGCATACAACAGTGCTAACAAACCAATGAAAACGTAATACTTTGCACCATAGCCTCTACCTGCTCAGAGGACATTTTCTGAAGTGTATTACAGAGAACCAAGCAGAAGAAACTTCAATCCACAGCAGCGAATTAAAATTTCCAAAGAGTCCTTATCAGGTATTGTAATGTAAGGGAAGTTGCAAACTGTAGCTTTGGATGTCTTTCTTTGCTAAAAGAAGTTTATCCAGTTTCCAGACACGCCACAAAGGTACAGTATAGTATTCAGGGAGGCATCACAATTTACACTGTTTCCTTTGAAGAGTCCTGAAGGATCCGCTATGTTGGGATTGTCTGTCAGTACCTCCGGCTGTCACATCTCAAAGTGACGGTAGATGCTCTCCACGTAGCTCAGGACTCTTTGCCAGTCAGGACCGCCTGCTCTCAGCATCTCCTCTACTGTCTGTGGAGCCAAATTTTCAAATAAGTTTATAAGCTCAAAATCAACTCTGCATCTGTCATAGAAAAGTCAGACGAGGCTTTACTGTACTCTGAGGCTTACCAGGGTTTGTGCAATCCCGACAGTCTCTCCTGTTTTGAATGCCAGACTGAGATTCTCCCTCTACAAAGAAAGGAATCGATAAGTTGGACACCATAAATCACTTGGTCCTATCCATTACACAGGCACCAGGAACACTTCCTACCTTGTTCTCTGGAGTGAGAGTGGTGTAAGGGATGTGTGAGGGGAGGTAGGTGTGGTAGACAGCACAGAAGGCGAGACCGTCGGCCCAGCTGCTGCTGAAGTTGGTGATGTCGATATTCTGCAGGGAGAGAAAAGACAGAATGATGACACAAGAGAAATAAGGGGTTTACTAGTCAAAGAGTCAAAGTGAAACTAACTATCTGAGCAGACATTTTTGACATATCACAGAAGGGAGTAAATATTAAAATGAATGATGGCTATTCAGCTGCTTCAGTCTCAGGGTCTTGGTATTGGGCATGCTGCTCAGTGTCACACTGTCATGGCTTATTGGGACACTTGGATAGAGCAGAGCTATCAGTCATGTCAAAGGTTTAAAAAAAACTGGACTCCTGACTTCCTAGTGGGAATATCAAAAGCAATGAAACACCTCTTCAAGTGAGGAAGAAAGTCCAAAAACTTTTCCTGTGGTTCTCACAAACAGATCAGCATGGGAACATATGCTATAATCACTATACATCACACCCAGCACATACATATGTGTATATAATCCTCTCAATTCACTGGAAAAAATGAAGTTAGCAAAGAGAAATGGTAAAAGACAAAACTGAAATTTCACTATTTCTTTAAGTTTTGTTCAGATACAGTTTCCCACTCAATCAGTTGACTTTAGGCCCTCCCCGTTTTCACTTGGGATAATTTGCAGAGGTGGGACTGAGTCATTGTTTTGCAAGTCACAAGTCTCAAGTCTTTGCAATCAAGTCCCAATTCAAGCGCCCAGTCAGAATGGGCAAGTTCCAAGTTAAGCTCCACATTAAGACTGACAAGCTGTGCGCCAAGTCCCAAGTCCTAAACTCTGAGTTCCAAGTCCTAAGCAATATGGCTGGGCGATATAACGGCTAAGTACAATATATTGATATATTTTCAAGCAAGATATAGATTCAGACAACACTGTTTATATCAATATCAAGAAGGGTCAAGATGCATTACATATTGCATACCAGTTCGCATCTCTCATCTCTCATACTCTCCGCACAGCTCCGCCCAACTCCTCCAGCAACACTAAGAGAGACAAAGAGCTACCCCTTTTTTTATTCTGGCTGTTAATTAGTCTACAGTGCAACCACAGTAGCACACATGCTGTACAGCGCTGCGCTGCACGTGTGGGATGCAGAGCTGCTTGATTGTGTCAGGTAAACGTTTGTTTGCTTGTTTGTGTGTGAGGTGGCTCATAGCACATCATCGTACGTCTTGGTAGTTGTAGTCTAATGTGTGACACTGAGACAGCACCTGGATGCAGACGACAGATGTGTTTTAAAAAAGCAGCAACAACAGACAATTCATATACAAGACATTATTATGTCCCATATATAACGCAGACAAAGTGTTTTTCGCTCCTTTCCTCCCTCGGCCTCTCTGTTGATGCTATGTGCATAAATAGGATTGATAGCCTAAATAAATAAAGAATATTAAAATCATTTTCCAGCACTAGATTCATTTGAAAGACAGTGGAAAATGAGTGTTTAACAAAGATTTTTAATCATTTCAAACTACAATGGATTTAAGCCTACATGATACTTTTATAGTCATATTATAGTTTTGTGTCCTGTGCTGAAAACCTTTAAACCTCTGCAGCTCCAGTGCTACAGTACAGGCCAAAAGTTTGGACACACCTTCTCATTCAATGCGTTTTCTTTATTTTCATGACTATTTACATTGTAGATTCTCACTGAAGGCATCAAAACTATGAATGAACACGTGGAGTTATGTACTTAACAAAAAAAGGTGAAATAACTGAAAACATGTTTTATATTCTAGTTTCTTCAAAATAGCCACCCTTTGCTCTGATTACTGCTTTGCACACTCTTGGCATTCTCTCCATGAGCTTCAAGAAGTAGTCACCTGAAATGGTTTCCACTTCACAGGTGTGCCTTATCAGGGTTAATTAGTGGAATTTCTTGCTTTATCAATGGGGTTGGGACCATCAGTTGTGTTGTGCAGAAGTCAGGTTAATACACAGCCGACAGCCCTATTGGACAACTGTTAAAATTCATATTATGGCAAGAACCAATCAGCTAACTAAAGAAAAACGAGTGGCCATCATTACTTTAAGAAATGAAGGTCAGTCAGTCCGGAAAATTGCAAAAACTTTAAATGTGTCCCCAAGTGGAGTCGCAAAAACCATCAAGCGCTACAACGAAACTGGCACACATAAGGACCGACCCAGGAAAGGAAGACCAAGAGTCACCTCTGCTTCTGAGGATAAGTTCATCAGAGTCACCAGCCTCAGAAATGGCAAGTTAACAGCAGCTCAGATCAGAGACCAGATGAATGCCACACAGAGTTCTAGCAGCAGACCCATCTCTAGAACAACTGTTAAGAGGAGACTGCGCCAATCAGGCATTCATGGTCAAATAGCTGCTAGGAAACCACTGCTAAGGAGAGGCAACAAGCAGAAGAGATTTGTTTGGGCCAAGAAACACAAGGAATGGACATTAGACCAGTGGAAATCTGTGCTTTGGTCTGATGAGTCCAAATTTGAGATCTTTGGTTCCAACCGCCGTGTCTTTGTGAGACGCAGAAAAGGTGACCGGATGGATTCCACATGCCTGGTTCCCACTGTGAAGCATGGAGGAGGAGGTGTGATGGTGTGGGGGTGTTTTGCTGGTGACACTGTTGGGGATTTATTCAAAATTGAAGGCACACTGAACCAGCATGGCTACCACAGCATCCTGCAGCGACATGCCATCCCATCCGGTTTGCGTTTAGTTGGACGATCATTTATTTTTCAACAGGACAATGACACCAAACACACCTCCAGGCTGTGTAAGGGCTATTTGACCAAGAAGGAGAGTGATGGAGTGCTGCGGCAGATGACCTGGCCTCCACAGTCACCGGACCTGAACCCAATCGAGATGGTTTGGGGTGAGCTGGACCGCAGAGTGAAGGCAAAGGGGCCAACAAGTGCTAAACACCTCTGGGAACTCCTTCAAGACTGTTGGAAAACCATTTCAGGTGACTACCTCTTGAAGCTCATGGAGAGAATGCCAAGAGTGTGCAAAGCAGTAATCAGAGCAAAGGGTGGCTATTTTGAAGAAACTAGAATATAAAACATGTTTTCAGTTATTTCACCTTTTTTTGTTAAGTACATAACTCCACATGTGTTCATTCATAGTTTTGATGCCTTCAGTGAGAATCTACAATGTAAATAGTCATGAAAATAAAGAAAACGCATTGAATGAGAAGGTGTGTCCAAACTTTTGGCCTGTACTATATGTGCAAAAAAAATTAAGTACGCCCCACTATTTATTTTATATCATTTTTCATTTAAATGTCTTTGCATTTTATTTTGATCACAGTCTGTTTTTAAATAAGAGCTTGTGACGTCTCAAATGTGGCATTGACTTGCAACTGAAAACATGTAGCCCATTTCATTGACAATACCGAGATAAATATTGTGTATTACCATTCAGCCTGAAAATACTGAGGTCTGAATTTTTGTCCAGATCGCCCAGCCCCACTAAGCAAGTCATAATGGGCTCTTCACCAAATGTAATAATATATTAAATTTACAGAAAACATGAACATTTTTTAAAGTTTGTTCCTATTTGTTATAACAACTTTGTTGGAATTTGTTGCAATTTGCAATTGTAATTTTCAATCTGCACTTTTTGCATACAGCAATTTGTTTTTTGTGACCATTGAATAGATGCTGGATGTGTGGAGCTAAGTGTTCAATTGATAGGTTTGAATAGGGTTAATATTAGATGATTCAGGAAATGAAGGGAAATAAAGTGACTCATGGCACACTTCTCAAATAACAGTTTCTAATCTTTGGGTTTGGTGGAGGGTATCAACATTTACAAGTCTAAAGGCTTAGGTCAAGTGGTCAAGTTAGGTCAAGTCACAAGTCATTGGTGTTAAAGTCCAAGTCAAGTTGCAAGTCTTGTTTTACTTTTGTCAAGTCGAATCTGAAGTCAACAAATTTGTGACTCGAGACCAAGTCATATGACTCAAGTCCATCCCTCTGACAGTCAGAATTTGCCACAACCTCTGTAAGCCAATCACCTTGTTGCTGGGAAAGAGTCCTCACACATCTTTCACAAAACTGTTCCTATTGCGTGCACACTAAATCAACTTATCATTTAATTACTCTGTAAGCCCTTCTTTTAACTAATCCATCCTGACTGAATTACACTAAGCTGTGAAATGTTTTCATCAATAAAACATTAGCTGTTGCTTGGGAAAAACTTTTCAATTACATCTCTTACATTATGCTTTGGGGTTCAGCCCTTTAATACCAGTGTAAATGTACATAAAATATCCCCAAGTTCAGCTTTAAGAAAAACATGTTAACTACAGCATGCCCAGGATCACCTTGTAGCCTTGTGTTCGGCCCTGACACCAGCGGAGCAGCGAGTTTCTCTTCGACCCTCCGTGACGACGCAGCAGTAGGTTGAAACCATCCTGGGATCTGACAACAACAACAACAAGATACAAGGCCTCAGATTTTTTGGACTGAACACTGCAGGACTTGCTGTTATCAGTTAACCGTTATAAAAAAATCTTGTCACACAGTTGACTCTGTTATTGAGAGGAAAACCTAATTAACACACTGATTCAAGTAAGAGAGGTGTTTTGGCCCCAATATCGAGCGTTATGAGTTCACCAGACAAATGTACCGGGGTCAAAAGGAGTAATTAGATTTACACAGGATGTAGCAATTGGGCTGGTCCCTTGGACGCAATTGTTTGACAGTGTGTGAGTGTGTTTTAGTGTGTGTGTAGACTCACTTAGTGGAAGGCAGCTCAGTAAGGGCAGAGTTGTATTTGTTCAAAGACTCCTCACGTTTTCCTGCACAGACAAGCAACCACACTTAATTACCCAGCCGCATGCTTTCATTACAAACACTCCAAGCAGCAAGGAGAGAGGTTTAGCTACACTGCCCTTAAACATGCTAACACAAACTTCCATATTTAAAGCAGCATTCATTCATTTTTGGCCACTAGGGGGCAGCAGAACAAGCTGTTACAGTGACATTCTCTGTATAAAGTAGCAAACCAGTTAACAAAAAAATTGCAAAGTGACACATCCTGCAGACACAGAGCAACATTAGCATTTATTTTGAGTTGTGTTTCCATCATTCACTCTCTCTCTCAGCTCTGTTTTGGCTTCCAGCTGCTGAGAAAAATAGGCAACTATTTAGCAGCTAAATAACTTTGTGTCTGCTGTTTGGTGCTGGGCAGGTGGGGTTCAGTAATGGGTGACCCAGGAGTGAATTTTCACCCCTGTCACATCCCACTCCAACAAAAAAAAACTTCCCCCATCGTCCCATCCCACTCCCTAAACAAAATAGTGTTTATTTTTATTAGAACCGCATGTTTATAAAACTGACCTACTGTTATTCTGATCCCTGTCCCACCCACTCCAACTGACATTTTTCTTGTCCTGTTCCAATTACATGATGAATAGTGAAATTGACTTGATGGTTTATCTGAACTTTTATTCTGAAAAGAAGCCTCATTATTTACATGAAAATTTCGACTAGCGTAGTTTTAAAAGTTAACTTAAAAGTTTACTTGTTAACAAACAAAAGTTATGTAAGGTTAGGTCTAATAAACACTTTGAAAGCATTTCCATCCTCATATATGAGCTGACTATATTAAATTCTGCATCTACATTCATTTTACTTGCCAGCAATCTTCTTCTTCACTGCCTTTGGTGGCACATTGCTACTCTTCTTGGCCCATTACCGCCATCATTTATCACTCTTGTGCATCCTTGTGTATGTGTACAATGCAAACAATATGGGCACCCACTAGTATATACACTGCTTCATAGCACTGCTAGTGGTCAGAAATTCCACAGGGTACATTTTATAATAAAATCAATAACATGAAAAAACAGCTATATCACAAACACGAACATAATGTGACACACACACCTGTGTCAGTGCTTGGTCTGCTGTCTTGCCAATCCAAACTTCTCCGGCCTCTTAGTGGCCCCAAGTTCTTTAAAACACACAAGATTCATTAAAATTCAGATCAAAATCATGAATAAACAGCAAACCACAAATCAAATGCATGTGCATGTCCTGGCTGACAACCCAACTCCAATGGAGAATCTTATTCAAGATAAAGAGGTGACTTATCTCACCTTGTTCGTAGGTCCCACAGTTGAGGCAGTGTTGGGCTGGGAGGTTCCGTTCAGCATGGTGGGGGAGCCCGAGGAAGCAGGTAATCTGGACAAGCTTCTGCAACAATACAATACATAGTTAGGAGAGCAGACCAGATAAAACAAACCAAATGTTTTTAATGGAATTTTTATAGGATAGCTGTTGGCTCCAGCTGTTTAAGCTGTTCAAAGTGTCCTCAAGTGAGCCTGTGAAGGCCTGTGGGTTGGGTTCAACACATTCAAAAGAAACCACAGTCTCAGTCCTGACCAAATTTGGTGACTTTCATCCATAAGTCAGAGACAAAAAAATGTGGAAGACATGTTTCTGAAATATTCAACCATCCAAACATGTTAAAGTGCCAAATACACAAAATGATGCTTTCACAATGTGTTGCAGAAATACTATTTGTTTTTCTGTTAACAGTTTACCTCACCTTGACCTCTCTGTGGTTACCATCCTTCGTGTCTCGCTGGGTCGCACCTCTTCTCCACTCCTATCCTCATTGGTCACATTTCTCAGGTAGCGCTTAGTCACGCCTTTACAGTCTGTTCTTGCCTCCTCGCTGACAACATTCTTCGTCAGTTCATTCTGACTCCTGCTTTCCATTTCTTCTCGCCCCAACCTGTACACTCCCCTCTCCATGCCCCTCTGGGTCCCTTCTTTGCTTTCACAGCTGTTGGTTGGTTCTCCATTATTATTGGGCCTCTCTGGCTCCTGACACGGAGCCTGGGTGAGAGTAGCCAGTCTCTGCCTGCTCTCCTTTAACTCTCCTCTCAGGGTTACCAGTTGCACATCAGCCTCTTTCTGTCTCTGCTGGGAAGCGGCCAGCTCCCTCTCCACATCCTTGTGCGCCGTTCGGAGCGCAGTCAGTTCTTCTTCTGCCTCGGCTCTCAGACGGTCTGCCACTGCCACCGCCACCTGTAGGTCAGCCTGGAACTGCAGCCATTCCCCACGCTCCGTCTGGATGGGAAACAATACAGGGCGTTTAAGTGAGGAACAGCATTATTCCAACTGAGTGATGATGGTTTACATGAACACAGACTGATATTCATGGTTCTTAAAAGATAAGGTAGATAGTCGCACACAATTAGCCTTAACACATCATCTCATGTGGTCTTCCAGAAGCATTTGCTTTCTAAATGTTTTGTTTTCATTTCAAAGTGTGCCTGGAAAAATCAGTTATAGCCTATGCTTTATTTAAAACATTTACACCACTTCACTTTGACATTGAACAGTTCTTTCTAACGGGGAACTGCAGCTGTTAACTGTGCTTTCTCCAAAGCCACCAGACTCCATTAAAAAAAAAACTAATTTTACTTGCAGAACATGAGAGTTGCTGATCTACAGCTGCTTTGAACGGTAAGGTTCTTTGTGTTATTGTTTGACTTAGGCTTTCGAAAGGCTTAGTTCAGATTCACCAAAGTCTAGGGCTGTACAGGACTAGACAGATTTGGCTGTTCAATACAAAAATTCAACTACTCGTTTTTATTTATCCATATAGTTTGAGAGTTTGAACAGGGTTTAGGGAACGTTCAGGATGACAACAATGTTCACAAAATATAGTTAACAAGTCAAGTTAGACCTCTGAGCTAATGTGTGCTAACTATGCTAACTACATATTAGAAATATGCAACAACAAAGCTTCTCTTCTTCTGGGCAGCTGCCTCAATCTCACTCAGACTCAACCCCAGTCTTAGTCTACAGCTGCCTGTACCAGAGAGCAAAGTGAAAGCGAGGATCGCTCACTTTGCAATCTTAAACTTTCAGAAGGCAGCCCTACCAAAGTCACACAATAAAATTACTGTTTTTGTCAATGGAGTCTGGTGGCTTTAAAGACAGCATAGATAACTTTCAGATTCAGTTCCCCATCTGAAAGGGCTGTCTGATGAACTAGTACTGATTTTCTTTAGGTGGCTAAAATAAATTTTGCTGGTGTCTTCTCCACAGCAGTACACTGCTTAGTTTCTGTGTCGATATTCCTGCTTGCTTTTCCAAACTGGAGGGCGTGGCAACTGACATCATCCGTATATAATACACTGACTATGGGTAAGTACCTCATACAACCCCACTTCAAATAATCCAAACTATCCCTTAAATACAAAGCATACCCTCTAAAAACAAACATACACACAATAGACAATAACTATAATCAAATGAAGAGTTATATATTCATTTGGCCCTCATGAGGAGACTACAGGTCAAACTGAAAGAGCGGCAAGCCTGAGCAAGCACAGACAACTGGAGCAGGCAAGTCAGCTTTAATGAGGCAGAATTGAATTGTGAGCCAAAAGGTTTGCTCATGTCATATAAAAAAATCATCAAGAATATGTGCTCAGTTTTTCTTTTGTTTTTTTCAAGGGCCTTTAATCAAGTTTGGACACATACAGAAAGAACAGATTTAAGCAATGTTTCAGGAACGGGGCCAAGGTTATATTGTGAAACTGCCATGTGTGTCACCAACACCAACATTCCTAATAAGCAGCATGGACAAATGAAATCCTAACTTTGACACAGACTCTGTTTCATATCTTTGAGAATGACTGATGTAGAAAAAGTTTTCCTTCTTTGCCTCGGACGTGCAGAAACGCTATCCCAGACATCAAAAGACGCATTCACAACCAATGAAGCCAGACGGTAAATGATACCAGGACGTTAAAAAACGTTGAGCAACCATCATCACAAAAGGAGAGAGGGAATGAGAAAAAAAGTAGAAGGAGAGAGGAAGGACGATTAAAGCGGCTGAAATCACACACAGATTTAATACTATTAAGTCTGTGGAGCAATGTAAGCCAGAGAGATGTGAGGGGGTGCTGAGGATATGAGGAGCTGGGAAGGTTTGTAATTAGATGAAGAATGGACGGAGATGTAGAGGAGGAGGAGGCGACATCTGAGCCAAGTCGCTCCCTCATCTGACCAATGACTCAAGACCACAGCTGGACCCGATTACACTGGATGCACACACACATATCATATTTCCCTCTTCTTTCCCACACATACACCTCCCTTATTCTTTTACCTCACCACCAAACCACAGTGCTAGGTTTCCTCACACACATCTACACATTAAGGGCAAAATGAAACACACTCTTCCTGGCAACATGTGTTAAATGAATAATAGGATAGTGGTCTGTGTTTGGAGACGTTCTATATTAGGTAATACTAAAAAAAAACCCACCCACTTGGACTTGATCGTGTCTCCACAGAGCCTTTGTTATCTGGACGTGGACACTCCAACTGGAGCATGTCTGTTTAAGGAAACAGGAAGGGGCGCTCCTCAAGTTCACACTGAGATAAGGGTGTGGATTGTCAGTCTTAAGGCACACACACTCATACACGTACTCCCTCAAGAGATGACCTAGTGCCCCACTCCAAGACCAGATGTGTTATCCCACACACACACACACACACACGTACACTTGTCTATCCTCTTGATGCACATCTGAGTTTCAGACAATTCCTGGAAAGGGTCCAGCACACTTGGAGATTGTGTCAGTGTGTGTTCCAACCATCTGTCCCTAGTTCACCTCCACACCCAGACTTTCTAATACATACTTGGGGAAACATCCCAACTCTGTAATGGCTCCTCTCTCCAGCTTTCCACAGCTTTTTCATGTGCGCTCTAAAAAAAAGTGTTTGAATACACCGTTACACCTATTAAGGGACACTTCATCCCCTCTACAGTAGTCACACACACGCACAAAATGGGCAAATTCCCCCCGACTGGCACATGAAAATAGCTTGGTAGCGCCTACAAGTTGCATATCTAAACAGCCACAGACATCAAAGAAAAGGGTCCCAAGTCGCTGCCATTTACTCCGCGCTGCAAATTCGACACAGCATGCACACAAGCCTCCTCCCTCCAAATCCTCCCAAACACATTAAATTGTCATTCTACATGTGAACAGCCTCCGTGGGCCTCCAGATACGGGGCTCTTTTTAGAGTGTGGGTCGCTGGAGCAGCCTAGCGAGGAGAATAGAGAGCAGAGGGGGAACCTGGAGATCATTCCTGGAAATCTCCGGCAGCGTTCACCTGGAACTGATTCCAAAGCAGGGCTTAGAGATCGACTATGTCTCCAGGAGGGAGGGAACACAAATCTGACCAGTCACCCACCCACACACACACATACACACACACACTAGCCAGCCATGAATGGACTGTTTTCATTTTTGTTGGTTAAGACAATTGAAGACTGGTGGTGCGCGTAAGCACAGACAGATGGTACATCGGATAATACCCTTAGTAGTTCGCTGCACATTGGCTAATCATGTGTTTTCAGAATTCAGTTTAACTACAGTACATCGGAAATAGATTATGACTGCGGACAGACTGAGGAAGATGGAGCATTTGGGAACACAAGGATGAAGACAGATGAAGAGTTGAGGAGGAGCGGCTTAGCTGACAGGATGTGACTGGAAGAATAATGACAACTTAAAAGTAAAAAGGTCAAAAACTAAGAGGTCAGAGCTAAAGAAAAAAGGTTTAAGCAACTTGGGGTCAGATGAAAAGATGGATGTTACAGAACGGACTAGGAGGCGAGGAGGGAGATAGAGGAGGGGTGGGGAGAAGATAGTGGGAGGAAGGAAGGGATGAGATAGAAAGGAGCACTGCAGCAAAAGTTGGAGGGTAATTGTTTTGAGTTCTTGTGCTCAGGGAGGAGCGGTCAGCCCTCTGATGGAGGAAGAATGAAGAAAAGGCAGAGAGGCACAGCCAGGGAAGGAGGAGGAGGGAGCCTCCATACAAAGCTAAAAAACCAATTGAACCAGCCAAGAATTTCAATGCATCTGTACGTGTTTGTGAGTCTTCTGTCTCACGTGGAGCACACACACAAAAACACATGGCCAATCAGTCAGTGCGAGCCCCCCACCACCACCACCACCACCACACTGCCACACAGCACAAAACAAAACAAGTTTTGTCTCCTGAACAGCCGAATGTGAACCCCCTCCTCCGCACTGCACTCCCCTTCTCTGGCGCACCACAAAAAGGCTCCCAGGACTGCAGAGCAGACTGAGAGGGTTCATAAAGTTGAGCTTTGCAGGCTTATATTGCCCTACCGAGGGCCCATGTAAACACAGCATTGGATTGCCCCGATTTCTAATGCACGGCTACCTCTCAGTGGTACACCACAGTCTCTCTGAGGTTTAGCTGGCCTATGTCAGGCTTATATTTCCAGGTCCCTCACAGGGATGTGGGAAAGTAGAGAAAAGAGGAAGAAAAGACAGGAGGGAGCCGGGACTGCATATCAAGTATGGAGAGCAATGACACCAAGGAGGTGTGGAGTAGAAGAGTACTTGATTGTCATGTGTGTCAGTTTAAAACTTGGTTGCAATATAACAGTTAAAACGATTCTAACACATGGCAAAATAAAACAAAAGTAGAAGTGGGGACAGTCACAGTGGGAAGAAAAGAGATGGGCTTGAGGGAGAAATACTACAGGTCATACTCCAGCTGTTGTAATCTGTGACAGATCTAGAGGAAGCTGGGAGCCCCTGGCTACAATCCTCATAAGGGAGGGTCAGGAATTGGAACGAGCGACCGACAGGAAATTACCGCAGCATATCACCATCCTCGAAAGAGCATGGAACGCCCAAGCAATAGACTGAAGAATTTATATATCTTATTGTGCATGGTTTATCTTTAACTCTGGGTTTGGAACCTATTACTGGGTCAAAATAACTGGTGGTTCCCTTCTGGACAGGCATTTTTTGAGAAACGAAAAGAGAAATAAATGTGTGTGATCAAAAACGCTTCCATGTCAAAACCTAGAATGTGGCTAGACTGTGTATGAAACACCAGAGGGCTTTTAATTTGAAACAGGAAGTGGTGGCATTCACTCAGTCACAGACTTTGCCCTACTGTTGTGGTCCAGCCCAAAAATGAAAGTAAAAACATCTTGAAATGCCTAATAATACACTGAGACACACTAACACAGCAAAGGGAACCTACTTCCCCTGGAGCTGTACCCACTGATCATGTAACACCACCCTCCCCTCTACAGCTCCGCTCGGTAATGTGCGTCTCTGCTTGACTGGTGGAGGCTGCGCAGCATCGGCCACTATCGGAAGCAAGTTCAGCCGATATGGAGAGCTTGTAAAAGATCTGATGGGTGCCGATTAGTCGCCCAAACTGATTAATCAGTCGCTCTAGTTACGAGTTGTTACTGACACTTTCCGATGTCTCCTATTCACTTTCTCCTCATAAGGGTAGCGACATCCGTTCCAGCATAGGAACATGTAATATACAATGACGTTACTCATAGGGCCAGTTCCATGCACCGTTCTACAACATTCTAAAAACCTGTCTGTTCACACCAATGCAACTAGATGAAATGGTGTATCATCTCTATGCAACAACTCTCAGGATTTCCTGCTTTTCAGGATTATTTTGTGTATATAATTTGTAGCAAGCCAACCCAACATCTGACACCGGCACACTGTGAGGAGGGAAACAGAGAGCCAGGGATGGAGCACCTGCCGCAGCAAGCGAACATGACGTCTGCAGTCATTTTGACTTGACCTGCATACTTCACTACAAGCCAATTGGCTACTGAAACAGGTGACGTGCTTTACGTTCTAAAACCGCTCAGACCGGCCAGTTCACATCGCTGCAATGTTCTAAAACGGTTTTGTCTCGTTGTGAATCTTTGGTCTGAACTGGGCTATAAATTTTGTATCATACAGACAAAGCTGTTCCTCAGGCAAACTGATGCGATGATGCTTTTTTCCTTTGTTCAAAACTGCCCTTTCTGCCCTAGCTAGCTAGCGAGCTTTCTAATTCCAATGTGACAGTGGTTACAGAAAATGAGCCAAACAAAGTTGTCACTCATCTGATGATAGCAATGTGTTTTCCTACGCTGTGACAAGAGTGTGAAGATGACACATTAAGGTGTTGTTGTATTACTCATGTAGCGGCTGGCTAGATCGCTATCCAGCTTGCTAATTCCACCATGCCATGCTGGTTACAGAAAAATACAGAAGTCAGTAATACAGGACTGTCAGCGCCCACAGCCGTCAGCAAGAGCAAAAGCCAATGGGGAAACACCAACACTTGTGTCATCGCTCACTCTGACCAAAGCTTTAACTTCATCACTCACTCAGGACTGGCTTCACATGCTGCAGTCCAGCCAAAAAATGCAACAATGAAGGCAACAAGTGACCTGCTAGCATTCAAGATTTATGTCTTCCTTTCAAAAAAAGGAGCCACAACAGTATGCAGCTATCTCTGATCAGCACCACAAGTATGAGCTACAACAACCTTTGACAGAAGACGATCTCAACGATCTCCCTCTTTTGGGCCTCTCATGAGAAGCAGAGTACAGGAAGACCTCCATTAGCAAAGCTGCAGCTCCCAGCGGGGCCCAGTCTGAAGCTTATTGTGATAGAGGGGGATGGAGGATGACACGGTGTGTTTTGGTGTTATCTCCTGGATGAAAGATCACAAGCACTACAGTGACTTATGTATAACTGGAGTGCGTGACTTCCTGTTTACACTGCTATACTTATCCACTGTAGTCTTTTAAGTGTAATGGCAAAAAAAGTGTTTCCCTCAAGACAGGGAAAGCTACATTTTAGTGGGAAATGCAAGACAAACTTTGAAATAAAAACTCAAGAGCTACAGCCATTAGAAGACAGGTATTTTCTCTGTCAGTGTTGTCCCTAATTGAGTGATACCACTCTCTAAAATCATAGTAATCGTGAAACAATGGGTCCCTCTCTTCAGACAGAAATAGACAAAAGCAGGCTTCTTATTTCCAGCTGGCAGACATTGATTTTTCTGGCTGAAATGGTAATTGTCACCATTTTATCAGCTATAGAGCTAATTGAGCTAGCGTCAGCTCCATGAGCTGGGTGAAAACTTTGTCTCTCTAATTATAATCTAATATAATCTAATCTATATTAGTTGCGATAAATGCACCCTCAAATGTATTGTTTTCAATGTGGACACACAGCAGGCATCCTCAAAAGTCAGAGCGAAGCACGCCTTCCTGACCGTCTACTTTTCAGGTCACAACTGCTGCACCCTGAGATAAACCGAGTTCAACTTTTGGAACACAGCAGCACATACCTCATGTCATGTGATGAGGAACAACCACTCATAGCCGACAGATATCTTTCCCTTCTTCTGTGAATATCAGTCCATGGTAAATATGGAAAAGTTGATCATTTCAGTGCAGGGCTGCCAGAGCTTTACATCTGTATCATAGACCATAGGTCTACACACTTATAAACAGCGCCTGGGAGAAGATCAGCTCTGCACTCAGGATTTCAGGTAAAAAATGTTATGATAAGGTTCTTGTTAAGGTTGCTTAGCAACCTTAGACGCAACCTATCACTGTGCTCAAGAAAGCTGGCACAAAAAAGACACTAGAGTAGCACGCCTACTACCAGGTGCTAAGCTAGACAAGACAAGATGATCACTGCAGGAAAGGAGTTTCGCGAATGGTCAACACCTTTACACATCAGGCATTGAATGACGAGAAAATTTCATGTCATCATTATCCTGACCACAATAACTGCCATCATCAAAATCATCAAAAATGGCACTAAAACATACTGAAACTACTTTACCCTACATTTTGTTAAGAAACAAATATTTTTATTGCATCATAGATAGGACACGTATGTTTTTAGTGATCATCTATTTAGGTAACAATACACAATCTTAAATATCTTTCTTACATCTTTCAATATGAATTATGCAGATGACTGATTGAGATCTTCTGGATTGTTAAGGTTGGTATGAATGCAGCCTGTTTTTGCAGAGTCTCTTCTATTGTTGGTTGCCCAGCATTTTCTTTGGGCACTGTTGGACACAGTATTCACTTTTATGGAAATTCACAACAATCAACTTATCATGTTTTTTTACTAGGATCTGCAATCGTATATTGTCCTACCCCCCTATTACACACAGCCAAGAATTGGAGAAAAGGAAACTGGCCAGAATATATTCTAAAAGCAAACAACCTTTCTAGCTCATCTCACCTGCAAAGTACTCTTCAAACTCTTCACTTCTGTCAGTAGATGCTTCAGTATCTCTGAGGGAAGGATACAGAAATGTCAGAAGACATCACATGCATATCAAATACAAAAAAATGTCAAGGAAATGGATTTGCCCTTCTCAGGAAAGGGAAATGTTAGGCCCACAATGAAATGACAAGTTTTAGTACTCAAACAAAAATGCTGTGGACCTGAATATTATTTATAGGCAGTAGTATATAATGTATTATATATTACCCGCTGTGTTTGTGGCTCCATCCTTACTGGCAGTAATACCCAGTGTTGTCCTACACTCTTCCAGCAGCTTCTCCAGTTCCTCACCCTGGCTATCCCCAGCTTCGTGAGCGGGTAACAAAGACTGACTCAGACCACTGTCCCTTTCCCTCCATTTCGGCCCAAAAGAACTGCTCACCACAGGTGAGGCACTACTCAGAGAAGAGGGGCTCTTCGTAGGACTGATGGCCATAGTCCTCTCTGGGGAGACCAGTGGTCGAGGGGTGGAGGTGGGAGGACCTCCATTTCTCCCCAGAGTAGCTTGTCCTTTACCCACGGTACTTCCTGGCTTGCTGTGAAGCGGGCTAACGGTGGAGTTATTTGAGCTGACTGGTGGATGAGGCCTCCAATCAGGAGGGGGACCGGAAGTGGTAGAGGTGGTGCTGGACTGTGCTTTCTTCCCACTGGGTGTGAGGGTTGGGACTGGAGGTGGAGGTGAAACTGGGGCTGCAGAGGAAGGTTGAGGTGAGGTAGGGGGAAGGAGCTGGGGGACACTGGGTATGAAAGCAGGCCCATCACCCTGTGGAGAAGCAGGAGGAGTGTGGAAACTATCCCCATGGACCCCTAGAGGGAAAAACAAATAAGAAATACATGTTAAAAAAACTAAAGATATATTTTAAAATGCACAAGATATAATCTGCTTTGAATAACAATTTGTACTATGTAGGCTGGAGATTTTAAAGTGTGGGTGAAGTAAAATTAGAGATTTGCCTCTACACTCATAACACATGGTGGTACAGTGGTTTTGTCACCTCACAGTAAGAGGGTTCCTGGTTTGAACCCAGGGTGAGGGGTTCAAATCTCAGGGTGAGGGAGGCCTTCTGTTTTCTCTAGATACTCCGGCTTCCTCCCACAGTCCAAAGACATGTAGGTTAAATGGTGACACCAAACTGCCCGTAGGTGTGAGCGTGAATGGTTGTCTGGCTCCATGTGTCAGCCCTATGATAGTCTGGCGACCTGTCCAGGGTGTTCCCCGCCTCTTGCCCAAAGTCAGCTGGGAAAGGCTCCTAGGGGATCCCCCAACAGGATAAGTGGTTAAGGAAAATGCATGAATGAACTCATAATACATGTCTGAAAATCCATTCATATATTACTTGTGACTGCGTATCCTATACAAGGCTGCAAGGGGGCTGAAGCCTATCCTAGCTAACACAGGGTGAGAAGTGGGGTACACCCTGGACAGGTCGCCAGACTATCACAGGGCTGACACATGGAGCAAAACAACCATTCACACTCACATTCACACCTACAGCCAATTTAGAGTCACCAGTTAACCTAACAGGGATGTCTTTGGACTGTGGGAGAAGACACTCCTTACAACATCCTATAATTTGCTAGCTAGCTATTAGCTATCATTAATACCCGCTGGGTGTGTGTAATACCTGTAATTATATGACCTGTTATGAGAACCAACCCACAAAAATACAAGTTAATCAACCACCTGAACCTGACCCAACCCACAAACCACCTACTTAATGCATTATGGCTATTATAATGCATAAAGTTAGCAGTTTGCAGGTTGGGTCAGGTCGGGTCACAACTATCAGGACTGAGCACTGGAGCGCTGCTCTATGTGTGTGTGTTGTGTTAAGAGAGAAAGCGAAAGAGAAACTGACAGAGAAAGGGAAAGGGAAAGTGGAAGGTGGACTATTATACGCAATAGCGGACACACCCCCAGGGTTTTTCCTTGATTTTGAAACCTAATTTTATGTACTTGGCAATTCTTTAATCAATCAAATTTGGCTGGGTGGTTAATAACACATTTTCGATGGTAACAAACTCAGAAAACGTCTATTTTTGGCTTCCAAACCAGTTGTGATGTCACAAAATCCTGTCAGAAACTGAGATTTACGGTCACTACAGAGAAACTTTCCTCTTTCAGCAGATGAATGTGAACGCAGCGTCTTGGTGTCAAACTCTGCCCGTGCATCATTCTACGCAGTGAAGGTGAATCGTCCAAGTGAGGCAACAATTTTACAAAACTTATTCTGAGTGGGCGTTAAAGTTATGAATAACTGTGAGAAACACAACAAAACATACTGAAAGAAATGTCAGAGATACTGAATCAGAATGGAGGGAGACAAACAGTTAAGCAGTCACTTGTCTGGCATGTTGACACTGAAAACACCATTCAGGGAGATGACCAGACCAGCAAACATCCAGGCCATGTCCCTGAAGATGAACGCTTTAATACAGACATTCCTTCTTGGCTGCTCATCCACAATGCTGCGCGACACTTATTCTCCAAATTCAGGAACCCACACATACACAGAGGACAAATGTTTTCCATGCAAGGACCAAATTGTAGCAGTCAGGCACAAATAAATTTCCAAACTTGACACAATAGCACTAACACAAGTGATTTTAACTTTTTGGCTCGGCGCTCCTTGCCCAAAAACAGCACGCCACCAGTAATAACTGGAGGAGCTATGGGAACCACTGGGCAAGGTGTCTCCTTCTTTTCTTTGCTCCTTTGCCTTGTTTGGACAAAAGCCTCACTGCTAGCAGACGTGAATGTTTTTTTTTTCTATAATGATGTAAGAGCAGCAGTTGAACATTTGCAAAGTTACGCACCACCTGCTGTAAGGCCAAATCACTGGAAAAGAATGACAGGATTGTCTAATAACTTTCTCATGCCACCCCTGCTTTTTATTCCTTCATTCCAAACCTTAATGTGCTCGTCCAACCATGCGCACGGGATGGCAGATTGACTGAATGAGAGTGTGTGTGTATGTGTGTGTGTGTATGTGCGTGCGCGTCCATTGAGGTCTGTGTGTGTGTGTCAGATAGCATTAGGCTTCCTATGATTAATCCGCTGCCCTTGTGCTGAGCCAGGGAATTCTGCCGATTCATCACAGCTGGCCCGGCGGGGCCAGAACGAATCACATAGGGACGCGAGGAGAATGACCACTCACTGAGCAACACACAGGAGGGCTGCCAAGATTCCTGCTGCCGCTCAGCACACACACACACACACACAGCCTTTCCGCTTGCTTCTCCTTTTGTTGCCTTCAATTTCCTGATTACCCCTTATCCACCCCTCTTTTATACAGTCTCCTCGCTCTTCCTGTATTCCTCTTATTTTACCTCTGTACCATCCTCCTCTACTACATCTATCAGAGCCTTGAGGTGTGCTGGCTTTATTCTCACAACACCAGGCCAACACACACATACTGCCAGGCGTGTGTGTGTACTGCCAAACATTTGAAATCCATTTCAGCATGCAGAGACAGACAAAAGAGGGAATCAAGGGAAGTAATTTAACCAAAAAAAAAAAAAAAGGGATTGCAGGCTCATTAGTGTGTAACTGTGCGTTGACCTACCTGTGGGTCCATGGCCGTCCTTGCTGGAAAAGTTGCCCATACTGCAGTAATGGGGTTTGGGCCACTGATGGGGCCCTGCAGGTGCCTGCTGCTCTTTCACTCAGCCCAGACCAAAGTGGCACTGTGGAGGTGACCTACACACACACACACACACACACACACACACACACAAGACATCCAGAAAGAAGATGGATGAAGTCATGCACTTACGCTCTGTTATCCAGCTGAGAAATAATTCAGAGACAGCAGCTCTGGACAGAACCAACCTTCACTCTTTTTAACTTTATGATAGACTGATGGAGGTTACTGAGGAGCATGCGACAAACAAAGCTGTTGACATGTCAGGCTTACATACACAAACTCTACACCAGAAATGCACCAAAACACAACCCACACCATTGAAACAACATAAGAACTCCAAGTTAATACACAGCGAGTGTCATTAATAAGAAAACGTAGCTTCATTCTTGTTCAAACGCCATTAAGTCTCACGCGCTCTCTTTCACACAGCCCTGCATCCAAGTGTATAAAAACGTGTTTAGAAAAGTAACAACGTATCGGCTACTAAGTTTAAACCCCAAACTTTAACATTAAGTGCAATAACAAGTGGATACAAACCCTTGAAAGCGGACAAATAACTCCCCAAGTCCTTTTGTTCGGAGTTTTGGTCAACTCTTCTTCTCCACGCTTTGCTTGTCTCAGCGCTGCTCAGCGGAGCGCACTGCCCTGCTGTGTCCTCACGGAGGAGAGGGGATGGCACACAGACAACTGCAGCTGCATTCCCTCACAGCAAAGTTTAATCCCAGCAACATGTTGCTGCTGGAGACAACTAGATAAAACGACAAAATCTGATTTGAAACGGTGCATAGGCTCATAGAGCGATAAAAAAAAGCCTTTGAACATCAATATCCGATGGCGCCGATAGACAGAGGATGTGTCCACTGGAGGGCACCGTTAGGCCGCGTTAGGAGGGACCTGTTGCCGCAGGGATGTGTGCTGGCCCTTCCTCTCTTTCACCTCTTGACTTTATTATGAAGCTGATTCACAGGCTGATGACCCACTGACCTACTGTGCCAGGCAGCCCCCGGCTAGAAAACTCTATTGGATATTTTTCTTACAGCAGCTTTTGCTTTAACTGGATAACATTATTTAAACTTTCCCATTCAGTGTTTGGCTCCTACATCAAACAGATGATGTGAATTTGAAGATGCCGACCGTTACATATGAGCTGTGAGGGCTTGAAACTGAGGTATTGCAAGGCAGTAAATCAAATGTGGCCTCCAAGTTGTCAAATATGCCCAAAAAGGCCACTTTATTAAGTAGGCTTTAGGTAGGTTTAACTGCACCTTAATGCAAATAGCTTGTCAGCCAATCATGTTGCGGCAACTCAATGCATTTAGGCATGTAGACTTGTTGCTGAAGTTCAAACTGAGCATCAGAATGAGGAAGAAATGTGATTTAAGTGACTTTGAATGTGGCATGGTTGTTGGTGCCAGTGTTTCCAAAACTGCTGATCTACTGAGATTTTCACGGACAACCATCTCTAGGGTTTACAGAGGATGGTTCGAAAAATGCCTTGTTGATGCCAGAGGTCAGAAGAGAATGGCCAGACTGGTTCAAGATGATAGAAAGGCAACAGTAACTCAAATAACCACCCGTTACAGCCAAGGTCTGCAGAAGACCATCTCTCAACGAATAATATGTCGAACCTTGAAGCAGATGGGCTACATCAGCAGAAGAAGATTGGGAAAACATTGCCTGGTCTGATGCGTCTGGATTTCTGCTGCGACATTCAGATGGTAGGGCTGGAATTCGGTGTAAACAACATGAAAGCATGGATCCATCCTGCCTTGTATCATCAGTTCAGGCTGGTGGTGGTGGTGTAATGGTGTGGGGGATATTTTCTCGGCACACTTTGGGCTCCTTAGCACCAATTGAGTATGGTTTAAACACCATAGCCTACCTGAGTGTTGTTGCTGACCGTGTCCATCCCTTTATGACCACAGTGTACCCATCTTCTGATGGCTACTTCCAGCAGGATAACGCACCATGTTTCAAAGCTCAACTCATCTCAAACTGGTTTCTTGAACATGACAATGAGTTCACTGTACTCCAATGGCCTCCACAGTCACCAGATCTCAATCCAATAGAGCACCTTTGGGATGTGGTGGAACAGGAGATTCGCATCATGATGTGCAGCTGACAAATCTGTGTGATGCTATCATGTCAATATGGACCAAAATCTCTGAGGAATGTTTCCAGCACCTTGTTGAATCTATGCCACGAAGAATTAAGGCAGTTTTTGAGGCAAAAGGGGTCCAACCTGGTACTAGCTAGGTGTGCCTAATAAAGTGGCCAGTGAGGGTATAATCACAGTCATAAACACACTTAATACATTGCAGTTATTATTACCACTGGGTCTAGTATTAGTTCAATTCTTTGTTCAGTGCAGTTTGGTTTGGTCAAGCAGTGTTGCCATAGCTCACAGGCTAATCTAACTAACATGTCTTTATTGCATTAGATTTGTCAGATAGCCCACATGAAGTCTGACGGGTAATGTATGTAGACAGTATGGATTTCATCTGTTGCACACCCGTACAGTACACTGTATAGCTGTACTTTCTTATGATAAAAATCATTTACATTCTACAGGATATATGATATATTTTCCTGGGTCATCTGTGTAAAGATGCTATTGTTCTATGCTATTGTTGTATCATGGATAAGTGGCAAACCAAATTCTAAGGCAAAGTGGCACAAGATAATCACGGATTGTCACAAATACCTGACCTGTTTGCTTCACTTCACAAAGGGACGATTCATGAAAATACAGACTCCATACCTTCATTTCTCAAACTGTACTGTGGCTTCAACTCTTGCACTTACAGATACTGCACCTATGGATTGTACTGTTGTTTTGAATTCATATTTAAATCTTTTGTCATTTCTACTCTTGATGGTTTAGCAGACCAGTGTTGTGCTGAGCTGTTCAATGTTGTTTGTAAAAAGAAGTGAGGGGAAGAAAGGTGATGCATTTATGCTCATATATTGAACTAATTTGATCACTCTTGCATGAATGGAATTATTTAATTTGATTTCATTTGGCCATACACATCATACACATGACACACTTGTTTTATTATTGGCAAAAGAAAAGAAAGAAAGTAAAACAAAAGACTATAGACAGCATGTAACACAAGCACAGCAGGACAAAAACAGTCAGAGTTAAGAAAAGTTATTTCCATAGTGAACCTGGCCTGCTGTGCCTCTGCTACATTAAAGATTTAGGTGAAAGCTGTGACCTGCAGATTGAATTAGTTATTACTTATTATCCAAGAAGTACATTCATCAAACTGTCTTTTTCCAATTTCCTTGAAATGTTTTACACCCATTTTAATAGATTCTGAGTATTGCATGTCATCTGCATCTTGGCTGCACACATTAAGGATGTAGATCCAAAGAACAATGAGTCCATGGATTCTGACTGACTTTGTTTCATACCTACACTGGTGTTTAGCATGCTCAAACTCCTGTAATGGTCTGTGTTTAAATGGATGATCTTCTTGCAATCCAAAATGTAATGTTATCTTATTTTATACAGTCTGTAAGTGGGCTATTTGCTGCTTTTTAAGGTGTAGCCTGTATGCATGACTCCATATGACATTATGAATTCTGGTTGATGCAATTTTCATGTTTGACTCACATAAAATAGATAAATAAACAACTATTCATCGTCTACAATATGAAGTCTGAAGCATCAGTATCAGTATCAGTATCAGCAACTGCTCTGTGGTTAAACACTGGCTTTAGGTAATAATGTAAATGTGGATGTCAATATGTTCAACCCTTCCCAACTTCACCATGTCTTCCATATCAGTAATGCCAAAGCTTTAGATAATGTACTGTAGCTTCAGATTCGGGCATTAGTAATGTGATTGTTTTGTGTGAAAGTAAAATGGAGAAACGCTTTACCCCAATAACAAAGACGAACCATCATGTGAAACCTGTTGGATGTTCGCCTATTCTAAAATCTACAGGACTGAATGATTCAGATGTTACAAAGTTGCTAAATCAGTGTCTGATCTCTTTAAGCCTAATTACAGCAAAACAGCATGAGGTGCACTTTGACTAAAAACACATTTATTTCTTGGTACAAAAAGCACAACACTGTACAAATACAATCCATCCCACAGGTGTGACTGAGTGCAACAGCAGAGCAGCATGTTTGCCAAATGCTTTTATTTCATAAATCTCCTCTAACAACTTTTGATTAAATATTAATTATACCGCTAACAGAACAAATCTCTTCTTTAACAAGCACAGCTGAAGTCGAATTTGTAGACCTTTACAGATTGAAATGAATGAGCACTGACGTGCGACACCCACGCAACGAGCTAACAGATGAATACTGTGCTTTCAAACATCCCCTGCATTTTCTTCCAACAGCAAACATGTTTCAGATATTCCTTTTGTCAGCACGCTGTCTTGGCAGTTCTCCCTCATAAACTGTACAACGCTGAGGGAAACAGGAAGTTTGCTGCAGCTAGGAGACAAGCTCTCCCTCACTCTCTGATTGAGATCAATTGGTTTCCACAGTGCTCTGTGCTCACTGTGCACCACTGCAGTATATAGAGAGAATCCATCAAACCCAGCCAGGTGCATTACACAACCTCCAGCCCCCACCCACATTGATTTTACACCCATGAAAGTGCAATGCCTGAAGAGTAAGACTATAAATGCAGTTCACGCCAGCTTGGATTTTAGAAAAGGTGAAGAGCATATCATTATTGAATGTATCTGATTTAAAAACCCAAATTTACCGTACCGGCGTATATAGTGAAGCAGAGCATCCTGTTGCCATCACAACCCCATTATGAAATTGTTTAATGGTGTCACTCTCTATCCAGAGCAAGACGACTGATTGTTTGTTCACTGTCTGATGCCAGTTGGAGCCATTAGCTCCCTCTGCTGAGTGGATTACAGCCATTTTGTTGGTGACCTACTGCGCTAGCGTTCTGGAGAGCCACTATCGGGGCTCTATAAACTCCCAACCTGCCACAACTAGCCGCAGGTCCAATTTGGCAGATGGACAAGGACAGCTCTTAAACTATGAAAAAGTGGATTACAAGGTCTGGCTGACCTCTAAGTGAAGAGACACTCCACCTTCTCACCATCGTCCTTTTTTCACAACTTTCCAGAATACTACTTCCTCCTCCTCCTCCTCCTCCGCCTCCTCCCCCTCCTGTCTGCCTGCTGGCGGAGGAATAAAACTCTCTCTTTTATGGCTTGGTACCGTGACACCATAATATGTAAAACACAGAACTCAAATATTCATTGGGCGACCCTGTGCTATCCATAAGGCACAGCACGCAATCTCAACCACACTCAGTGTCTCGCCAAATCTCAAGTCCTTTTTCACTGCTACATTTTTGATAAACACAAAAGGCAACGCCATAATGTGTGAATCCATGGCAGTGGGACGAACGGTGGACACTGCAGGGGGAATGGTGCAAAGTTGGGATGCACACGGCTCGCCTGCTTCTCACAGGTCCCTGTCTCTAATACCAGATTAGGGAAAGGAGTAAGTGTGCCAGGAATGATTTTCCACCTGGGTTAATCCCTGCAGAGGACACAGATTTATCCAGGAGGAATTACTATGCTACCTTGCCCGCCTGCCACCCGCTGAGTCTCAGCCAGGTAAATTAGGTCTCATGATCAGGCAAGGTGTATTTGTGCAAGCCTTGTTTGCATGACTCAGGCTTTGATATCAAGTGCACGGAACTTTCTGCTATTAAAAGAAGTGTAGTCGATCTACAAAAATACCCTGCCACTTTGCTATTCTCTACCCACCCCTACCAAACCCTTGGGGAATTTAACTTTCCCGAACACAGGAGGCACCAGTCACTGATTCCGCCACAAAGCCAACCTGTGTCTTCCTCCACCATCTCTTGATTGACAGCTGGCGCCAGAGCGCGCCAGCAAACGCCAAGGCTGGTTGATGGATGGCACCTGCTCCTCCTCAGAGGAAATCAATTGAAGTCATGGGCAGGGATGGGGTGCTCAAGCACTTACACGTGGCTGTCTGCCTAGGGAGGGAAGGGGAGGGGGGCTGGGGGCACGGAGAGAGAGTTGCCAACCATCTGTGTGCAGAGGGGCACTGCCAAGCGTCAGTCCCTTTTTACACCAGGCCTCAAAACGACACACAATATCTCCAAATTAAACATGTTAGCTCCTTTAAGCTACATTCAGCAACAGTATTTGGGAAGTTCCAGCCTCATTACATGCTCATTCAATCATTCATATTGCTTCGTGCCCTCTCAGTGCATTAACGTCTCTAGTATCAGTGACTAATTCACACAATCCAGTAGCTGTTAAATTCTTTATATGTGTTGCACTAGTTACAGAATCCATTTTTACTACAAGACATCCAATTTCCTGCAAACATAAAGGTTGAGGTCAGTCAAATATCCACACTTGCACATCTTCAGAGAGCACATGGGCCGCACTCGGGGCCAGCATAGCTACAATCTTAATCATGCATAAGTGGAGTTATCTGGAGCTCAACCTATCATGTTGGCCGATCTACACCCACCCTAGCATTACATGTTATTACTTCATGGCAACTTTCTGGCCTACAAAGGAGGGAGGTGGGATCTCCTGGCAGGCACCAGCCCGGCGATGAACATCCAGGAAGGGGGTCCTATGGGCTGCTGAGCCCACCATGCTGGCATCAGTGTGCGTGCCAACCCACTGAAGGACACGGGTGGAGGGCCGGTGGTAGAGGGCCAACTGCCGGGAGCTGTAACCACACATCCCGATCCCCACGGCTCCCAGGAGCACAGCCATGCCCGGCATGCTCCTCTCCACTGGAGCCGTCACAGGCACATTATGGTAGGCCTGGGTCTGAAAGGGGAAAAGTAATCAGAGTATTATGTGGGTATGAAAGACACGATCAATGCAGTCCAGAAATAACACAACTTCCTCGCAAACAAAGAGTTACAATTTCTTAATGTCCAAAGTATATGCATGGATGCAGATCAATTTCAGGCCTATACAGCTCGGGAGGAGGACAACATGCCCTGCAGCCCCTTTTTCCCAAACATTTGTCTGCATCAAATGACTGAGCTACAATATGCTTACCTCATCTAGCCCTCCCACCAATCCCCCAGAGATTAAAAACTCATCTTCTCTAATTTACCAAATCGCGGTCTGTCTCTTTTGACAAACAAAAGCCTCGTCTATTTTGTGACATGGGCAATTTCCTCAGTGGGCCCCTTGACAATTATAAAGAGCATAGAGGAGCAAATAATAGAAACCTCATAGTTTCAAATGGAGCTGTGTCACAGACAGTTAAGAAGCCATTCCTGTAGCTCACTCACCCGCTTCCCATTTCCATTTACAATGCAATGGGCTGTCACAGGCTTGGATTTCTTCATTGTTTGTGATGAACACTATCAAAAAGGTGATTGTGTTTGGTGAGTTAAAACAAAAGGCATACTGGAAGAGAAGCCTGGAACCAACTCATATTTGTGAATGGTGTGTATATAATATAATAGTACTGTATTTCATCATCTTGTCACAACAATCTGTCGAGACACACCACTGAATAAACAGCTGCATAATGGCAGTGAAACCAACTCGCTGTATGCACCGTCTCTGTCTATAAACTTCTGCGGGTAGCCATAAAACCAGCACCTTGCAAACACTTCATTACATCAACGGCTGCTCTCAGAACCGTCAACGTTATTTCATCTGCCACTTCCTTCTGCTCCTTAAGGAGCAGTAGAGACGGAGTGTGCCAAGCACCGTGTAATCTAGACTTCAAATCCAAGACATTGAAAGGGCTTTCTGCCTTTTTGTTTTAAAGGCCTTAAATCAAAACAAGCGGCTTGATGCAGAAAATTGCAATAAAGTGCAATCCACTTCTGTTGGCAAGCAACTTCCAGTGACTCAGCACTTTATGCTCCTGCTTCCTGCTAGTGAATACAGCTTTAGTGTCACTATGCATCGAAGAGAAAAAATCCCAGCACATCAAAATGTTCTCTTGGTGGTTACAGTATCTACAGGACTCTAAATTGTGTTCACCGTTATAACATAGTAGCACTGAAAGATCCAAAACCAGTGTCACACTTGAACTCTTTAAAACTCAGCTGCCACACTGCTCACACTCACCTGCAGCAGTCTGATGTAGCCCGGAGTCAGTCTTGGTACTCTGAAAAACATTTTGGAGCTGCGATGGTCTTTCTGTTAAACAAGGAAAGAGTTAAAGGGCAGATGACACTTGGCTTTCTCTTTCTCAAGCTCCTCTGCCTGGACTCCCAGGACGGGAAGCCCACTGACAGCGGGTCTGTCCGGGTGTGTGCTTGGACACTTCAACCTGTGCTCAGCTGTCTGATGCAGGACAGCCTGCTCAGCCCTTATAACATCTCCTTCTTGGCTTTACATAACAGGCAGTCTGTAGGTGGTGTGTCTAAGGGGATTACAAGAGCTGGCATATACAGACAAAGAAGTAGGTCTTAACAGGATGAAGGTTGAATAGGGCTTGATCTGGCTAATACTCATATATCAAATAAGATGTACTTTAAGTGGAATCATATTGGAATTGTACATGCTGTTGTTTTACAAAATTCTGTTGAGGAAATTGGTAACTTTTAATAACAAAAAGGGTCATCACATTTTCTGTCATCTTGCAGAAATTTGCCACATTGTGAGATATATAATAATGTAATTTTAGCCATAACACCCAATCACAATAGAGTATATTCAAGAATGTATATTTGAATGTGTGTGGAGAATCTGGGAGGTGTTACAGCTAGGTGGTAACTTTTATGAAAATAACTTTGTGTCATATTTGCTGAAATTGTCACTACATCCACACACTGTATCATATGAGACAAATAGTCTATTGAATCTACCGCAGCTGTTGGAAAACAGCCAATCAGAGGCGAGGAGTCTCTAACACAGCTGTCAATCCTGTCAATCACTGCTCATGTGTGGTCAAACTGTCAAACTAGGCAGCGCTGATCAAATATGAATCAATTATGTTACTGCGCTGCATATCTCCACTCTAAGATGTTTTCAGGTTTATATTTTAGTGTACTGTTTAGCTGTACAATGAGAAAGTTTGCTCTGGCTGGTGGGTGGTGCCCTGTTCCAGCCAAACTGTTTTCAACATGGTGTCCTGATTACAAACATTCTCATTTTACAGATAAACAGTACACTAAATATGTTTCTGGAGGTGAGAAATAGGCAATGCAGTAACAGAATTGATTCATATTTTATCAGCGCTGCCTAGTTTGACAGTTTGACTGCAGTATGTGTGCAATGACTGACATGACTGTTAGCTGTGTTAGAGACTCCTCTGCTCTGATTGGATGTTTTCCTTCATGTGCGGTAATGCTATTAGAAACACTAACGGTGCGTCCCGAATCACAAACTTTTTCTTTTTACTTTTAGCAGGTACGGCAGCTGCCTTTAAAAAGTACTTTTGTATGTAGTATGCACACAATCAGGACATGCTACTTTCTCATACCATTACATCCAGAACTTTGAGCCTCTTTTTCATACATCCATTACCTTGTAGATAAAATAAAACACCATTCACCCAGCACCCTGGAGACAGAGGTCAATCCCAAGAGCTCTGCAGTTGTTACTTTGTGATGTATGCAGTTTCATACATTGTATATTCCAACATATTGTGACTAACATATGCATTTCTCTGTCATTGTTATTTTCATAGTTAAGTCCTTTTGTTGTTGGTAATCTTTATGATTATTTTGTTCATTTAAATAATTAATATTCCTATTATCACTATCCGACTGGCCATCAGTTACTTAAGTGCGCTGTCACCTGTCATTACAGCTTCTGACAACTGTCAATCAGCTGTCAAAGAGCTGTCAAGCTGTCATCTATCGGCAGCTCAATGTAACGGATCTTCCGCTGTGCAGAGGATTGTGGGTCAGAATAGCCAGACATGCATGCTTGCTTGCATACTGCAAAATCCAACTAGATGTAGTAGAACATCCTGGTACTTCTGGCGTACTGCATTTGACATACTATGTATTAGGACCACTGTATCTTTTTCTGGCAGACTATATAGTATGGTAGTATGGGTATTGGAACCCACACTAAGAGGAGGCAGAGGAACATGATTTTATTCACAGATTATCCATCTCATGTAATACTGTGTAGATAGACAGTTTGAGCAAATATGACTAAGACTTAATTTCCAACTATAGTTACCAACTACAGCTTTAATGTACACACGTCGGCTGCAGATAACAGTGAGCTGCCATTGTCAATGTTTTGGATTCTGTTGAGAGCACTTTCAGGATTTTAATGCATGTATCCATCTTTCTGCCTGTCTGAAGGCAGTTTGACATCCAAACAAAGTGAAAAATGATGAATGAAGTGTTGACTAATTCAGGTACAGTACATTAACATCAAGTGTAACTGATTTCCGACTTCAGCAGTTCCTTTAATAGCTGCATACAGAAGTCCTAAGTCATCTGAAGTCAGTGCCACTAGAACCCATTTGAATCTGCCAAGTGGGTTGATTTGGATGTTTTTCTGTTGATGTTGAGAATGACTTCTCCCACCATGTCAGCAAATTTCTTTAAGCTTTAATATACTTCCTGGCCTAGGGGTCCCCGGCTCAGAGCGAGGTCTTATAATGAGGTGGCTGTGCTGATAACGTCTCTCTCGCTGGACGAGAGGAATTCTCTCCAGTCAGAGCGGCCAACAATGACCTTCTTCTCATCTCTGGTAATAGGAGCGAATTCTGCCTCCAAGCTCATGCATCCATGAATACTCTCAAACTCTGGCATTAATGCTGCAAAGTCATGATGCTACTGAAACTTGCGATGCCCACTGGGTTTTATGCACAGAAAGAAACCATTTAGCATTCAAAGTACTATAGGAGAAAAACAAAAACCACTAATGACTTCAATGCTATAAGGAATATGAAGCAGGCAAGATAAAATTAAATATTAATAACAGCTTATATGTATGCTCACAATAACAAGGCTAACATGCGGATGTTTTGCAGGTATAATTTTTACCATGTTCACCATCTGGGTTTGCTGTGTAAGCATGCAAACATTTTCTAATTACCCAAGAGAGCAAGAGAGAGAATAATCAGACGGGATGTAAAGGTAGAGACAAAGTCAACATTGCATTGGTCTTGCGCGAGACCATTCCAAAGGTGGGGGCAGAATAGCTGAAGGCTGCAGACCCCATGGTAGTGAAGTGGGTTGATGGTGAAGTGAGTTGGATGGCAGAGGAGATTCTGAGAGTATGGGAGGGTGTGAAGATATGCAGTAGTTCAGAAAGATATAAAGGGACTATAGGTTATGAAGTGCCTTAGAGGTAAAAAGCAGAATCTTGAAATTGATAGGATATTTAACAGGGAGCCAGTGAAGTTGCTGAGGATCAGGAGCGATAGGATCTATAGAAGAAGTTCTGGTTCTGTTCATGAAAACACTTGAGAGGAAGACCAAAAAGGATGGAGCTGCAACAGTCAATACAGGACGTAATCAATATGTAAAAGAGAATGTCAGTGCTGTGCTGTGTCAGTGACAGGTGAAGACAATTAAAATTGCACAGATGAAAGCACACAGAAGAGTAACACCGTTGATGTGTCCTTGAAAAGATGATGTACTGAAGAGGGTGACACACACAGTCTCAATCTAAGGGGAAGGAGGAACTATGGAGTTGTCAGTAGTCAGAGAAAATCAGGTTGCAGGCCAGACAGCTACACACTATACACTATACAGCGAGATAAAGCTCAGCAGAACTGCATATTCAGGTTATAATTCTCTGCAGGTTCCTCAGCTCCAAGCAAACCTTCACATTGTCACACTGTCAGATTTTGATACCTTGTTACAGGGGTGTAGGTTTTGTTTCAACATTGGGGTAGCACATATTAAATAGGAGTTGCGGGGCATCAAACACCTAAATTCCTCCATCCTGGTGAATTTCTATCCATCCTACGGCACACATGACTGTCTGTACTGAATTCTGTGCCAATCTATTTGGTAGAAGCTGAGATATTTTACTGGATATGCGTGTATAAATGTCAGGGGATCACCAAAGACATTAGAATTCATGTTCTGTGCACCGTGGATATCAAATTTCAAGGCAATCCACTGAACAATTGTTGAGATTTTCAGTCAGGCCCAAAGTGGTGAATTGAACAGACAGGCTGTCATTGCCATCCGCAATGCCAGTCGGCTTGCAAGGCTAAAAAAGTGCATTGAAACCACTCATGATCACCTTTATATGTTATATAAGCGTGTCAAGCAATGTGCTCTTTGTCCTTATCTCCTCTGGCTAATGTCTGCAGAATGAGCCCCCGAACCTCCATCAGACGGCACCTGGTGCATCCATCCATGAATAGACGCCACAGATGGCGGCCCTCATGCTAATTGTTCCCCACTATAATGCAACATACACACTCAGAGATGTGTGTTACAGTGTTACATCACGGTGTCTACTGGTGCGTCCCATTTCTGGTAAGACAACGGTTTCCTCTAGAGCTGGTACGTGGCAGACAACTCTCACTCAGGTCACAACGGCGCTGTCCTTCTGAGATAATTCTCTGCCCTTTTCCTGAACTCATCCCCTGGCAGTGAATCATGGGCACATGTATTAGAATAGATTATCTGAGCTCTAGACAGGTATGGTGATACGGAAGGTTAAGCTACAGACTCCCTGGGTGGTACTGCTTCCCAAGGTCCATCGACAACTAACTGTGCTGCAACATTGAGCGTACTGTTAGCAACAAGTGGGTGTGGAAATCAAGTAATTGTACCAATGATCACTAAGTATCATCAGAATTGCCTCCCTGGGGACAATTAACTAATCTAGAGCACTTAGGTGGAAGAGCAAGTTTGAAAAGCCATGAAGAATAGCAACTTGGTCAGACATTGATTTGTGGGGAGTGTACTGTAAATAATTGAGGAGCTATCAGGTTAACTGGCCGAGTTTAAATGTCATAACATCTGCAAAAAATACTGGAGCTCTGGGCAGAGCTGACATTTGCTACTCTGGCATTTAGAAGGTTAGGTGAGGAGGACAAATTATGTTAATGCCAATTAGATGTTTGATTCATTTACACTTCAGAAAAAACAACTTTAACAAACAGGGAGGTGAGTAACAGCTTGGTCGATAATGACAACTTCAAGCTTACTCATGGTGGGCAGACGGATTTTCCCAGCTCAGGATTAACTGGCTGTGTTTTGGAAGATATATATAATGCATGAAAATGGATTAGACAAAGATCAAATGGAAACATTTTTAATAAAAAAATATTTTATGCAGCAGCTTGTAAAGTCCAACATTTTAAAAAACAAAATTTAACAGGAGCACAGTAGAAATAATCCTTCAGTAGAGTCTGTGTTTCACTGTGACTCAGTGTCTCATGGGTGCGTCGTAGAAAACCCTGTCTTCTTGTCTCCCTGCATGGGAAAAATGTCTGTGATCCAGTATTGGAAGAGTGCAATGACTGCAGTGGTTTCCTCTAAAACACAAAAGACAGAGAGCAACATTTCAGTTACAGCTGACAAGACAATACCAGAGGAACAGTCAGTGCTTTTACCAAAGAGACTTAGTTACTGTTGTATTTCCAGAATAATAAATCAAAATCCCCAGCGGGGGATACATGTAGACATTCAACCTAACACGTCTGCCTCCCACCCAAGACAGGATCTTTTTTTTTTTTTTTTTTTTTTTTCCAAATGTTCTTGAAAAGTTAAATTTAGTGAATCTATGTAGAGCTAAAAAATGGACAGAATAAAGGGGAGCAGTCAAGCCAATGTCATTCATGAGAGCAACTCAAGGATGCGGTAAAATATGCTCAAAGGAAATCTGCTTCAGACCTGCTCCTGCAGTCAGCTGATTGCCACTGCAAGGGTAGATAGAGCGAGGAGAGCTTTAGTGAACTCACTTGAAGAACTTTTAAAGGCACACCTCTCCGCATCCGCATAGATTAGCTCCTGGCATGGAGCTGGATGTGGCAGGGGATGCGGGTTACGTTAAAAATACTGAATGCCGCTTCAACGAGGTGGATATTAATCAGAAACATCAAATCATTCAAAGCTGTCACACTGCAGCAGCTCATAAACGTGAAGCCAAATACAGCAAGAATGCCAGTGCGTAAATTGCTAACATAGCAAAGGTGAGCTAAGTGAAGAGAAATCCATTCACAAGGAGCTCTGCTCTGATACAATCTGCTGGAGAGGCTGTATTTAAAAAAACAGTGAATTGAAGCATGACTCATACAATATGAGGCGGGTGGGGGGGGTGGGGGTTAGAAGAAAAGCTTTCAGGCAGCTGTGGAGCAGGTGCATGAGAGGATAGGCACAACTAAGGCGGGCTTGTACTGTGCTGTGTGCTCTGCTCGCGAGATAGCAAACTGGATTTCACACAGTGTTGTCCTGGCGACAGGGACAGGCAGAGGCAAGCAGCACTTTGTGGCCAACGATACGGCGGTGTCCTGAATCTCCCGGCTGGTCTATCTTGCTCTCCCTCTCCCTCTCACAGATATACACTTGTGCGCGTGACAGCGGCAAAGTCCCCGCTGATCCTATTATGCAGCCAGCTAGCCAACCATGCAAGCACACAAACACACATGCACAGGTGAAAACGTGTCAAGGGGCTTATGAGTTGTTTTGGCTGTTGACAGAGTAAAGGCGAGATGAACAAGTTGAAACATGTTGGTTAACTCAGAGCTGAAGTCACCTGAGTGTAAGGTATAACATGGACAAGACCAGCTCTACTATTGCAAACTGAGGACAGGTACGTGCAGGTAAAGGCTGCTGAAGGCAAGTAAGGACAGGTATTCTAGGGCAAACAAAGAATATCAAAGTAAGGGCACGTAGAATAGAAGGCAAGCACGGACAGACAGAGGCATGTATTAACCTGCTGGGACAGGTCAGAGAAGTGCCTGGGGCAGATCCCAGCAAGATGAGGCCAGTTTGGACAGGGCTGGGCATGAATGCATGCTACAAGGAGCAGCATAATGTACAAGCAAAGATCCCATCATTTATGATCTGATTCAACCTTTCACAACTTTCCAGGACTAAACCCTCACTCAATTTTCACTGATCGACGCATCACTGACCTGCAGACATGGGAGACGTGTTGGAGAACTCCTCCAGTGCCATTTCCAGTTTGTTTGCCTCTTGCTGTTGAACAAGGGCCTTGAGACTGTGGAGCTGCTTCAGGACAGAGGTGGGCTTGGATCAGCTGGATATGCTGCTCAGAAGGTCATTCACTGTCCCAGACAGGAGAGGAAGCTTGTCTCCACGCATGGAGGCTGGAGGAGCATAGAAAAGTGAGAGGTGGTCTGTTAATTCAACCGCATTTCATATATTATTTAATATTTAAGAAGTGTACTCCAACTGGAGCTGACGACGTGACGGTTACGATATTGTAACCCTAGTTCTACTAGCACGGGCAAAGCTCTCTACTGGACTCAATGGGTAATACTCTCCACCGATCATGAGCATGCATTCCATCACTGAAATTTGCATAAATGTTTCCAGCCAATCACGACGTGCCTACCTGAATATGTGCAGACCAAACAGTTTATAAGAGAGTATCTCGATGCTGTCCGTTATCCTGTTCTCTTGAGTGACAGCAATCTGCCCACCTCTGTATCCATTTCTGAACGCCATGTGCAGCGTAATGACGAATAGCACACATCAGCCAGTATGGCAGCTTTGGTTAACATATCTAACCCCTGTTGTGGCATGCATACACAACATTCCCAAGATACTGATGTCTATTCGTCCCTCCGATCACCATGTGGGAGACGAGAGGAATTCAAGGCACTATGTCCATTCATGAACACTGTATCCCGGCGTGATGATGTCAGAATATATGCATCATCCAATACATAATGGCTCTAATTAACATAAAACAAATACACAGATGTCTGTTTCTCCCTCTTGATCTTCGTGGGAGACGGAAGGATTAAACACTGTGACACTCTCGGCTGCGTAGGGTAAGAAATGTAACTTTATAAATATAACAGTTATTTAATACATCATTTTATAGCTTTAATTGTATAACTATGCACCATATGTGACTGTCTAGACTATGTGTCATCCCAGTAGAGAAAATATCACCGGTAAATGTTTTTATTCACAAAGTCAGACTGGGTGAATCTCATATCTTTGCAGTCTCACCCTTTATTATTAGTTATGCTCTTTAACAAGGGTGCTCTACCAGGTATCAACGACTGAAGAGCTTTAACGGCCTAATCTTCAGCAGGATGTAGTATTATCAGTCTGATGCAAATAATCACCATGTTAAAGATGATTTAATTTGAAACTTTTATAATATCTGAAAAATTCAACATTTGGATTCATAGGCTATCTTGGCTTGGTTTCCTTTAAAATAAATGTTACATACTCAAAGATGTTGACAATGATTACTAGTCAGCACCCAGATATAGATTTGCCTGGCAACTAAAAAATGCCCAAACACTTAACTTTTTCCATGTAGTTCATTCTAATGGCACTGCAATTTTAGCTATTACACTTTCATCCAATTACTCATGCTATGTTTTTCACTATTTTTCTGTTCAGTTCATGCTGGCACTGTCACATCACGTCTCAAAAAAGCACAGATGTGCTGTGGCAGGAGTGCAATGGATTCTGTTCAACAGTTTTCATTAACATGTTTTCAGCGTTTGGCAGAATTTAATTATGTGTTTGTAAACTACATCGCAGCCACCGGCTTTGTGCATCATAGCACCCAAAATGAATCAAAAATCAAACTCCTTGGCAGGGTGTTCATTTCACCAAATATTAACATCAAATAAATGAGCACAAGCTGTGGCAGTGCTAACAAGATTCAGCAAGAGAATGTACAAAACTGGCTGATCCAATAAGACAAGCACTGCTCTGATCAATACTTACAATCTGACAAATAGATTTCCAGTGTTGTCCTGAGGAAGTCTGACACATCCACAGCTCTCCCCTCCTCCTCCTCCTCCTCCTCTTCTTCCCCATCTTTTCGGTACGTGAACTCCAGGGCAGTGGCCCGAGGCATCAGACCCATGGAGAGCAGCTTCTCTTTGTGCCGCTTCTTTTTCAGCTTCCTCTTCTTGTTCCTGCTAACGCGCTCACCTCCCTCATCTACAGGTGTGTGACTCTGACCTGTGCTGGACTCACTCAGTGGAGCTGCTCCATCTTTCTCAGAGTCTTGATGGAGGGCTGTTTTCCTTTTCCTTCGCCTCCTTTTTCTTTTCTGCTCTTCTTCCTCTTTATCTTGGTCTTTGTCGCTATCACGGACGACCTCTTCTGTGGACAACAAGATTGATAAGTTTCAAAACACTGTAAGTTTCCACATACACCACTACTCTTGAGCAAAAGCAGCCGAAATCAGTGGTTCCAGTCCAGATTTCTCCTTAGTCATTAGTTCAATGCCAACACAGTTCAATACATTTGGCGTCATATTTGTGTTTGGCCATGTCGTCCAGCTAGTTTGGTGTCTCTTTCAAGTAGCTGCCCATAGAGCTGAAAACACACCAGCACCACTGCAGTGTGGCTCCTGAAGAGACAATCTCCAGAGCAATGACTCACCAGGCAATATCTTTCTGGCCATTGTCTTCATAATGACGGGATTGAGGGTCATTTAGCTTGGGATATTTCTCGACTTTAGCAACAAGTCTCTCCTCATCCATTCTTTGTCACACATGAGACACAGCAACTGAGTTCTCTTTGCGTCAATAGTAAGGAGAGGAGTGGAGCTGCCACAAGAGCAGAAAAAAAGAGCTAATACGGGAGCTGGTATGTGCAAGCAGAGAGCAAGTGGGGGACAAATGCATTTAATTCAGGGAGCAGTGAAGCTGGAAACAGAATAGCAGTTTGACCAGCCACCTCTGGTGTGGGGTTGTACATTGAAAATAACAGGGGCTTATTTTATGGCCAGCGGCGTTTACTGGAAATTCACTGTACTTAGAAGTAAAATATTTTTTTGTACGAATTTGACACGTTTGCGAGTCAATTACGGTCCAATCAGAATGGACCTGCGACCCACTAGTTGGGAACCACTGGCCTAAATCAAAACTGCAACTGTCTGATTCTTGACTTCATATTTTGTGTCACATTTTGGAGCTTGGTCCTCAGATTTAGGTGGGTTTCTACTTGTAATGTCCAATAATGTGTCAGTGAGAGGTGAGAGGTTGCAGGTTTCCCCCCAGCTAATCACTGCACTATCTGATTCCACTTATTAGATACTCCGTCTTTTTAGCTGATTGCATTCTAATCAGCACAATCAGCTGGTGTAGTTACTGACTGAAAAGAAAACCTGTTGAATCTTGGCCTTATATAAAATAAAATTGAGACCAAAGGCGGTTAATAAAATCAGAATCAGTGCGCTGCATGTCAAGTTGTCTCTTGACAAACTTGTAAATAAAATCATCTATTTAGTCTTTTTTATTTTCTCTGTGATGATTGTGTACAATGAAATATGCATCTCCCATGCTGCTTGTAACAATTTCCCTCATTTTGAATCCAGCACTCTGATGAAAATTGAAATAAAAAACAGGGCACACACTCAGGTTATGCATTAGCTTTCATCGTGCACACACACAAACACAGAAGTACTACATTCCTCCTACCTTATGGAAATCATCATTAGAGCTCCTGCAGTTCTGTTTTAACCTTGCACTTTCATTTCTCTTGCTCTTGTTTTCCAGTTTGTTTTTAGGGAAAAATGTTACCTGTGCTAAATCTCTCTTCCATTATATTTTATTACCAAAACCTTAAATTTAATGACTAAAGGTTTATGGTTAGCCCATACAGTAATGGCGCTCTGGCTGGCTGAGCAGCTTCCTCCTCACCTCACCACACCTCCCCTCTGCTTAACAACCCAAGAGGCATTGAGAGGTCAAAGAAACCAGCTCCCATCGAATTTTAAGCGACCCGTTTACACTAGTGAGCAGCGAACTGGCTCACAGCCAAAACATAATGCAGCCGAGACAGCAGAGGTGCAGCAGCTACCAATACTGAAAAGCAATTCAAGAGAGAGCCACTGCTCCATTAAGTCTATCATGGATTATGGTGACAACAAATAAAAGTCATGTACAGGACAAAAGGTGGAAATTAACTTGAACTTGCTCTCATTTCTTTACTGACAGGCCATCTGGGCAGAACTGTACCATTTGCTGCACTGAGTCACATCATTTCCAGAGCGTGTACAAATCTGAAATATTTATGCCGATTTGTATTAATTCTGTCCTTTTGTGGTAGATTTACAATGAGCAAAAGAATCTCACATCAATGTGTTGCTAAGCACAGAGGAACAGAGAATTCCTTCAAGTCTAAATGCACTTTTGTCATCGCCACAGATGTCACACAGTGGAAATAAAAGAATTGAGAAAAACGCTAAAAATAGAGAGTAACTATCATGTCTTGAAAAGATAACTTAGAAACAAATGTGCTAGTGCACACTTTGGTAGTTCAGGAAAAAGTGTTCTGCACTGCAACATACAGCAGGTAGAGTTACACAAAATTAGCCAAAAAATAAACTGACCAGAATGGACTGAAACCTACAACAGCACTTAACTATAGATGACTTATGTTTCCATATATTTCTGCCTATTAGGCTTGGGCTGTATCAAAGCTATGGTATACTGAGGTATTGAGAGATCTTGAAAGTATAATTTTTCTATTAAACCGATATGGAGATGCTGCATTGAGGTGATGTAGTGCACCGCAATCGCCACCAGAGGTCGGTGTGTCCTGGTGGAACAGACAGCAAAGCTGAGAAAGATGGTGCCTGTGGGTGGTGGGGATAACGTAATAGGACTAGTACAAAAAATCCTCTGCTCCTGTTTGGGAGTATTGCCATGTATAACTTTATCTTGAGGTTACGTTTTCCAAATACAAAAGCAGTACATCAGCCACAAAATTTTGTTTAAAACATCTCAGTTCAGCCCACTGATGTCAGTGTGCAACGCAGCAACATGTGTCATTGAGTCCTCCAGCAATAAGGGCGCCTATTTCCGATCTGTTCATTATTCTATGGGCCACAATAGTTCAATCCAACAAGACTAGTCTAAATAGGCTAACGGCATATTAGAAGCACAGCATTGCTGCTAGACAATGACTGCCATCACCAGTGACTCAGCTTTTACTCTTTTTTTTTTTTTAACTTTTTTTTTATTAACACAAATACCATCATATACGGTGCACCCTGGTAAAATGTCAGGAAGGTATGAAAAAATAGATACTGCTTAAGCCGTCTTTGAGTCAGACTATGCATTCAGACCAAATGTGTGGAGTGTGGAGACAGATCTGGTCATTTAAGGCAACCATAAGGGTTGTCTTAGTCACTCTGAATACATTAATCATTACTATATCACATCAGCTTGTTATTGTTGTACTATTTCTATACTATTATACTGATGGATTTATGATCTTAATGAAGCCCCCGCTGACCTTAAACAGGACTTTAGATTGCAATTTCCATCGAGGCTCAGCGCCCACTACATCAAAAACATGTTCAATTAAGGTGCTGTTAGGCAGACGAGTGCAATTAATCAAACTTAACCTCATCATTTATTCTAGTGGGCACCTTTAGACGCTGCACTGTCTAGGCCAACAAATCTCTTTCATTTCACTGAGGTAAAGCAGAAGCCTGTCAGGTGAATGGAGGTCTGCATTAAGGAAGATGATGAGTACAGATACAAGTGTAATGAGCCATGGCTCTTATTACTGTGTGATCATACCTCTGGTTCATGACAAGAGAAAGTGCAGTGAAAGTATCTAAATAAACAGTCTTTAAATGATCCATTTTCACTGCGGCGCTGATAAGCTGTACGAGTTTATCCTGACAAACAGCACATTCAATAGACAGATCAAAGTGAAAATCACCCAGGCTCAAACACCATCTGCGCCGCATTCAAGTTCTCCCCAGTTCAAAAACACAATCGATTATCACTGTCTGTTTCCCTTAATTTGAGTGTCAGAGACAATCAAAAAGAGTGACTGTAATACACGGGAGAGTCATTGTGGAGAACTTCCATGCAGTAAATCTCTCTAGCTTTATGGCGCACAGCACAAGTCCATAAATGTAAGATTATGGTCGTCTTACCAGCTGGGTCCTCCGCACTATTTATGCTTTCGAACTGGGGAAGTGTGACAGATTTCTCTGAATCTGTCTTGTAGTCTGCGGGAGGAGGTAGGACTGTGTACATCCGCCTGCCTGGAGTGGCTGCACTCTGTGTCCCTGTATCTCCGGAGACAGATATGGCAAATTAAAGAAGGTAATAAACCCAAGTTTTGTGTGTTTGGTGTGTTAGTATGCTGATGTGTATTTTTTAAAAAATATCACCATTCAATAAATTGTACTTAGTACTTTTGTAAGCAGCAAGTATCACTGGCGAACTCAATGTGAGCTTACCAATGGCAGTGTCTTGTTGAGAGGCCTTTCTTTTCACATAGGTTTTTTTGGATAGGGCATCTACAATGCGTGGTGGGCTGGGTTGCTTCTCCAGTTTGGGAGCTGCAGGGTAAAGCTTCTGAAGTACTTTTGATTGAAAAACTAAATGACACAGGAAAAAGGACAAAAAAAACAAACACAAAAAAGACACACTGTAATTGCCATATATCTGACTTTATCTTTGTGTGTGAACAGCAATTAAATCAACTAAGTAATCTTAAACCTCATGCCATCATCTAACAGTTTAGCAAAGCATACCAAGGTAAATATACAGTAGGCTTCATACTTGTGATCAAATATATTTCTGACATATAACAAAATATGAAGTCAGAGGATTAAATAGCCTGACAACCTTGATATTGGTGCTGCTTGATGGGCCATGTGCACATCGTTTGCATTAACACCACTGTTACACAGGCCACTACTTCTACTACTGCTTCTACTAATAATAATAACAACATAATATAATAATAATATACTTATACAAGACACCAATGTTAAAAGGAGTTAATTGTCTCATATATTGGCTGAGTATATTGGTAATTGGTTAAAATAGCACGCCAAAGAAACACAAAGTTAAAAATATAACCGGAAACTAAGTTAAACAGGATCTAAGTGGGAAACAGAAAGGCTATCATACAAACAAAGCGTAACCTGCTGTTAACATATATAACTTTGTATTGGAAATCGGTATCGTAACGCAAAGTGAAAACTGACTGTAGCTATAACTTGACAGTGGAGCACGTGCATTTGTTTACAACCTAACTAGCCCCCACCTACCGCGAGACTTAGGCCGTTAGCTAACGTTACATTAGCTAGCCGGTAGCATGCAACAGTTTTGAGTTTTTGTATGACATTAATAATGTTGCCGACGACACTTGGGAAACTCACCTTCTTCCCTACGTGCCATATTGCCATATATATCTGAGTGGAAGCGAAGAGGACGGAAATTTCAATGTAACGTGTGGCTACAGCTAATATGTTAGCATGCTAGCTGAGTTAGCTACCCAGCCTGCTAGCTTGTGAAATTAGCTCGATTGATAACAGCGGTTAAATCCCACGGCGGTGAAACAATTGAGCTGTGTGTGCAACGCTCCGTGATGAAATAGATAAAGAGTTGGTAAGAGATAACTATACTTAAAAAACAAAGGCAAGTCCGCTTCGCTTGCCAAACTACAGTAATGCTCGGACTCCTCTAGCTGCTTCCTCCAAGGTACCAGCCCACAAACTGTTAGAGGAGACCTCACTTGGTGTAGTCGCGCCAATTCGCGTTCAAAATAATGTCAATTTAACGTAAGCACAGTTATTACAAAAGATATGTACCCTGTATATAACACGTAACTATATTGTTTTACCCAGCAGAATACATACTTCAAATCGGCATTCAAATCAGCCTTATTTAGCTGATGTATAGAATATTATAGCATGTTTGAAACGACTCGACCACTGATAAAAAATACAGATAGTTCAAGTTTTATTGAGCCAAATTGATTCTGTGATATTGATATGTAAGACGAATCACAGTGTGACTCGCTTTGTGTCTTGATCTCCGGCTAAAATCATCAAGCCAAACATACTTTTGAAGACAGTTTATACTGCCAACTTTCCTTGGCGTAGTGTGATGAGTGCGATGCATCAGACTAGAGCTCCCCATGTGTTTGAACCCTGTAATAACAGCGGTGTTGGGGCGTGCGCACACAGAGCCAGCTGTGGGACGGAGTGGAAGCGAGATGAGAATACTAAACAGGCACCTCATGGCTCAGCATCAGCACCGGGCTGAGTTAGGATTTGCGCACCCTCCAAACTTGGCTTGGGACCTCAGCATGTGAACGGGCTTTGCAGGAGGAGGATCCACCTAGGATGTCAGCTCTGAAGAAGGTAAAGCCCCCTCTCTCTTTTACTAATCTATGAGCACATATTTATCCTAAATATGACATGTGGAGGATTCAAACACTATATTTTGTCATCTTACAGTAAATGAGAAGATTTGTGCAGTTGTGGAAAATGGGTGTGTTTGGGCAGTTTGCTTGCAGGTTGTGTAAGGTTGTGTGGTGATCAGACTTTTGACTTAGGCAAAAACCTTTCCGTGTTTTTTTGAACAATATTAAGTACAAAAACGCAGATTTATTTAAATATGGTCAGTCATCACAATAAACAGAATATGATTTTTGCATCACTTTTGCATGCACATTAATTTTGTTTACCACTCCTCTGATTTGCCTCCTGGAAGTCATTCCTGCACTTACATTCATCCCTGAGGATGAGGCTTGGTTGAGGAGCATTTCAGGCAGAAAAAACCCTCTTAGTACAAGGCTAACTTCTCAAATGGATGTTATGTCAGGTTTGATCTCCCCCAGACTCCTTCTGTTGTGCACTGTCACGTAATACCGTATGTATCATGCCGACTGTAGTCTCTGTGGGTGTATGAGCTTCACTGACTGTATCTGACAGAGCCCAAGCCCAGCTCTGGCAATCCTGAATGAGAGTGGAGCTCCATACAGCTTAACGAAAGAAGGCATTGGCTGAGCTGTAGATTTTGTAAGAATCAAGGAACTACACCGACCTGTGTAAACATGTTACATAATACCTTGCTGAAGAGCGTATGCACAATTCCCACAGGCTGTCTGATTTATCTGATTCAAGTGGTGAGACTCCCGGATTGGGTGGTTATTACTGCTGTAGGAATCAAGCCTCTTCTGTTGTTGGGGGTGTTGCAAGATCAGAAAAAAAGTTCACTGCCTATTTGAGTAAAGAGCCTGTCATCACTGTCAGTTGTACACTGACACATCGTGTTGTTTAAGATTCAGTGCAAGTTGCAAGTATTGATGTCTCAGCTCCCATAGATTCCCATGATTGAGCGACACAAAAAGAAGGGAAGTTGTATAGAACGTCTGCTTCAGCACTGCTGCCGAATCCACGGCAAATACACAGTGCTCAGCACACACACACTGTGAGTGACAAAAAGTGCTGGCTGCCAGTACTCACATAGTCAGACATCATAATCACAGAGGTGCTAAAAATAGGAGACCATATTCATTGCAATGCTTTAGAAGCTCAATGGAGTTATTGCTGTTCACCCTCGCAGCTAGAAGTTTTTACCAAGATACTCCTGGATGTTGTACTTGTACCCCTACTCAATTATACAAAAAGCCTTTATTTTTAGACAGTCGTGGCCAGCCAGCCTTTCTTCAATGACACGCAGCTGCTTGGGTGAAACTCTGATGTGTAAGTGATGGACCTTTTCACTTACTAGTCTCTGAAACTAAGGGTGCACCGCACAGCTGCTCATACATGGAAACTGCATTTTCTGCCATAGTAACAAGCATGTGTTATTTCAGGTCCTAAGAAGTGTCCCATGTTCATTCATTATGCAGGTGGTGAGAAGTGCTATAGAGCAGTGGTTGTAGCAGCAAGCAGTCAGAAGGAAGTGTAATTACTTTTAATCAATAAGAAGGATAATTTAAGGAACCTTTGTATGTGTTGATTTGTGTGTATACATTGCCTGGGTGTGCCCGTACAATATGTTTGCATGTGTAGCTTGTGTATACCTAAAAGAGAGGGAACCTGTGGGTGGACAGATGCCAGGTGGCAGGTGAGAAATACACGTCCCCTCTGTAAGTCCTTATGTGACTGAAAAATAAATTACCTGTCACTTACCAGCTTTAGGGGGGGGCTTAACTTTCACCTCATCCACATCACTTCCTCTGCTTTGAATCAGTCTTTCAGCGAAAGTCTGATGATTCATACGAGATGAAGAAGTCTTTGCTCATCCTACCAGGCAGTTTTTTCACTTAAAAAGAAGAGAGCCTTAATAAAAAGCTCCCACTTGCGTACAAAGCATAAAGGACAAAAAAAACCTAATTGGAAACTGACACCATTTCCCCTCAGAAGCGCTTCGGAATTGAAGGTAGCTCATTTCAGGATATTTCCAACACTGCTGCTGTCAAATTGCCTGCATGCACAAGCACACGCATCCTTGCCCACGCCAACAGACTCTCAGAGTTGTCAATGGGAAGCTTGTGTGGACTTTGCCTACTTGGCAGTGACATGATAAGGCTCTCATAATCTGTTTGAAGATGCATAGAAAACTTGAATCGCTACATTTATTCGTGTGGTGATGTCACTTAGGAGCAGCGGTGAATGTAGACGAGTCTGACTAAAAGTAAATGTTCAAACATCCAGCAGGCTCCTTTCTTATTCATCCACTCATTGTGACAGTTGTGTTTCTGCTTTCTCCCTCCATGTCCTATTCTTTTTATCCTTCTTCTTCTTTCTTTCTGACTTAAATACTTTTCCTACCTGCATGCACCTTCTTTCATTCACTCTGTCTCTCTTTTATGTTTCTATTCATTCCCTGATGAATGCCCCCCCGCATCCGTAATAGTTTGGCTTTAGGAGAGGGATGCAGAGGAAATGGAGCGGATGGATGGGACAGAGCTTTATGAATCTAATAATGCATGGGAGCCAAGTGTGTGTACTGTATATACTGTACGCTGTGTGAGTCTTTGTGTGTGTATCTGAACACCGAGACTACTCAGTTAATCACCTTTGTGCTGCGGTGTGCACAGATCTTCCAGGCAGGTGGGTGTCATCATACATTCTCCTAGTGTTACTGTTACTGCAATAGCTGCCACATAGCCCTAAGTCAAATGTGACTCATTACAAGGTCCATTAGCAAGCTGGTATACTATCTCTAACCTTTCCTCTCTGCTCTAATTGCACATTCATAAATATAGACAGCGTGATCCCAGTTGGTAATGTCATCATTTATGATGATTTTACCATGCTGCCTTTGTCAGTCAGACGAGTGCATTTTCATCATAACAGCAGCTGTCTTTGAAAGTTGGCACAGCAGAGAGAGGAGTGCCCATGCTTCTTGTCAGCTGTATGCTTTTGAAACTCTTTGACTGGAAACAAAATTAAATCATCTCTTGGTCTTAAAGGAATTATAAATGTGTCCCATAAGGCCCTTTGTGTTAACACCGTCAAAATGTGAAATTTGATGCTAATGTAAGTGAAAGACCCCGTACAACTCCGAGTGTACTTGAGGTCTGCCTTGTAGAGTGTAAGTCCTAATACCATTACCGTTGGCGAAAGGCCCAGCTCTTTTACAACCCAGTCTTTACCAGATCCTTTAAACCCAGCAATGAACCTGAATATATTGGCTTAATAAAATAGCCCACTTTAGCAAAGGACATCGAGGCAGCAGATTTTTTGATTGGGATAGGTCTAAGAGATTTGATTAAGCTCCAGAGAATTACTTAGTGCTTTAATCGTCCCAATGTAGTCAAGCTGTTTAACATAAATGGCAATTTTCTTTCTGGTATTACTAGGTCTGAGTATGATTACGATACCAGTACCAATGTCAGTACCCTTAAATAACCAATATTAATAGTAGTACTTCATTTGATACCTTTTTTTTTGTATTTCATTTGATATCCATCATGTGAATAGAAGCATTCAGTTGCATAAAGTGCCACCAGATGCCATAGCCGTGTAGTACAGAACGAATCACAGTGTTAGTTTACAGTAACTTGTGGGTAGAAAATCATTGCGTCACAAGTACAAAATGAAACAGCACTGAGCAAAAGCTGTCTCAACGGGTTAGTTTTAAGCCACCTAATAAAGTCCCATAAAAAAACAAAAATCAATATTGGTACGTATAAGTGTACGCTATATTTAGAATATTTTCACCACTTCACCTAGACGTCAGACGGCCCTTTCCTATGGGGAACTGAAGCCATTATCTTAAAGCCACCAGACTCTGTTGCCAAAAACAGTTATTTTACTAAGCAGATTGCAGGAGTTGCTGGTCCACCACTGCCTCTAGTGGTTTAAGGTGTAAAGTAATGCAGAGAAAATATTCTAAATATAGCGCACATTATAAGTGATAAAAAAATTTCAGGTGGCTAAAACACGCCCCCCGTCCACAGCAGGACGTTACTTAGCTTATATTTAGTTAATCAAAAATGCGAGCAAGGCAACACAGCAATGGTAAATGGACCTGCTCTTGTATAGCGCCTCATTTGACCGCTCAAAGCTCTTTTTATACTACGAGTCCCATTTGGCCATTCACACACACTGGTGGCTGAGACTACCATACAATGTGCCATCTGCTACTCAGTTTTTCACACACTCACACACTGATGGAACAGCCATCAGGAGCAATTTTGGGTTCAGTATCTTGCTCAAGGATACTTCGACATGCGGACTGGAGGAGCCGGGGATTGAACC